CCGAGCAAGCGAGGTTAATAAATGTTTTATTATATGACTCTCGTCTGTGGGTTTACCAATGCTTTTGAGATATTTGTGAAGTATGTTCATGTCCGACTTGGTTTTGTGTGATACGCGCTGCGGACAGATTGTCATGGTAACGGTCCGAGGAAAGATATAAGATAAGATAAGATAAGATGTGCTTTATTTATCTCACAGAGGAGAAATGTACATGTCACATTTGGCATGGATAGAACACTCAGATTGTGCAAAAGGAGGAAATGTGCAAACATGTTACATGCAGGATAATTATGTACAACAAAAGTGACAAGTGTCAATTGGAAAAAGTGTCAATATCAAACGCGCTGTTTGGACCAATTGTCATGGTAACGGTCCGAGATGGGAAAATATCAGACCGGTAATCAACCAATCAGAGCGCACGTACGGTCCAAGTCATATAATAAATGTAATTATTAAACCCTTTTGGGAGCTGCTGCCTGGAGGAGAGAAGCTCATACTGTAAACCCCATTCTGATCTGGCTGAAGGAGAGCTCTGGTTTCTCTTCACACAAAAGCAGGGCTTAAAGTTTTCCGGCACCGTGCCGGAAATCCGGCGTGAGAAAAAAAAAAAAAAAAACATCACTTTTTTTTTTTTTTTTTTTTTTTTAATATATATATAAATAAATAATGATTGCTGTCATTTGAAAAAGGTTCAAGTGTGTTCTACCAATTGTATGAAAGGATTGCATGTGTATAGCGCAGGGATTAAAGAGTTCCGTCTAAGTGACGGATTTCCGTCAAATGAAATTGGTCTGAAAAAAAAAACAAAATATATAATAATAATATAATACAAACAATGAAATGGTTAATTATAACAAAATATATAGTAATACGTGTGAATCTGTTGTATATATCTAGATATATATTAATAATTTGAATATAATTGTATTTATATGTATATAGAAATAAAAAGTAATATAATCACGAGTGGGCCTTGAACGTGCCGTGGCTAGCTACATGAGCGCTCCGTAAATGATTCAAGGCAATGGGACGTAGCCAAGTTAGCGATGGTAACACGGAGGTGAAAGTTTCTGAAAAGTGCACAGAGCTTTTGAAAAGGAGAAGAGGACAAGGAAAATGTAATCCCGAACGGAGCAATAACAGCCAGCAGCCCGCGGACCGGTAAGCTAGGCGCGTTATCAGAGGAAAGGTAGGACATAATTAACGTTTACCAAACGCAATGCTTTTTTATTTAACGGAATGTACAATATGTACTTTGCTGTGACTGGGAATGGGGACAAGCATGTCTTGGTGAGCTTTTGATAATATCTTGGTGGCGATCCGCATGCAAAACTGCGTGATAAAAAGAGCCAATCAACGAGAGCGAACGGAAGAAACTCGCAGAAGAAAGGTGTGTGTTAGCAGGTCTTATATTCATTCATCAAAGCTAGCCTAGCATTCACGCACAATCACAATCATGGATCGTTGTTTATGGAAGAAGGAGCTGTATAAGTTGCTGTTGATAACGGAGTGAAAAATAAATGGAGGTGGGCATGGCTGGATGAGGTGGAGACGATGGGATTCTGTTGCTTCATGGTGCAAAAAGATGAAGGTGTCCGGTGCTTGTTTGTACTTCGCTATTATTATTTGTTTATATGGGAGTAATGAGAAAACAGCTTTGGATTCACCACCAGCTCAAAACTGCGCACTTGGCAGCTGTCCGTGCACTTTCCCACACTTCTTTACCTGGTGCATCAGATTCAGCGACAACTGAGACTAGGCTTGCTCTGGTGGACTGTGTCTGTGACCTAAAACTAAGAGTCTGTGGCTTTATCGCAGAAAATAACCTGTCGTTCAGAACCATCACTACCGCTGGTAGATTTAATTATCATTAATCATTTGCAGTTGATAAAACTGCGCTGTGCACTAGCACCAAGTTGATAGGGAAACCTTTTTCTTAAACATTGAGTGTCCACAAACAAATGTGGACAGAATTTTGAATGTCCTTTTGCGATATTTTGAGGAGGACAGAGCCAAAGGACAACGCCTCATCTCGCCTCAAGTAAAGCCAATGATGCAGATGAACTACTCTCACTAATATTCTGTCAAAGAGTTGACAAGTTGCTTGATCCACTGGTTGTAATTTCACATCAAAATACACCAGTTTAAATGTATATCTTTGAAGAATTCGCTTGATCTGTAATTCATTATATTTCCATGAGAAAATTTTCAGTCAAATCTTTTTTTTTTGCTTTAACCCCTGGCCGCTTATAAAAAACGCTTATTAGTGATCATTCTATGATTCATATAGATGGTTCAGGCTCAGGAATTTTTTCAACTTTAACCCATGCAAAAGGCACCTGGTCCCCTCTACCTCCCCAACCCTGCCCTCCACCTCCCCTACCCTGCCCTCCACCTCCACCTCCCCTCCACCTCCACTCCACCCTTAGCCCAGAGGAAGTGTTTGGCCTCGGTGGTGTCAGATCCTGTAGGTTAGCATAACACTGCTCTGATCTCTACACATTACTGCTTTACACACACGTCCTGCTTCTGTGGACTTCTGTGGACTTCTACACACACAACAATTCAATCTGGAAGCCTGTGGACTTAGAGAAGATTCGAGAAGAGAGAGAGACAGAGGGAGGGAGAGAGAGGGGAAGAGAGAGAGAGAGACAGGGAGAGAGAAAGAGGGAGACAGAGAGGGGGAGAGAGAGAAGGAGGTAGAGAAAGAGGAGAGAGAGAGGAGAGAGGGGAAGAGAGAGAAAGCGGGAGGGAGAGACAGAGGGACAGAGAGACAGAGAGAGAGAAAGAGGGGGAGAGAGAGGGGGGAAGAGAGTGCGAGACAGAGAGAGAGAGAACAAGAGAGGGAGAGGGAATAGGAGAAAGAGAGAGAGGGAGAGAGAGGGATAGAAGGAGAGAGTGAGAGAGGGAGAGGGAGGCCAGCAAGAGAAAAAGGGAGACAAAGAGAGAGAGACAGAGAAATAGAGAGAGAGACAGAGAGAGAGAGGGTAAGAGAGACAGAGAGAGAGAAAGAGAGAACAAGAGAGAGATAGAGAGAAAGGGGACAGAGAGAGAGAAATAGAGACAGAACTTGCAAAAACCATTCCAATAAAAACCCAAAACTCTGTGTGTCGTGTCATTAGCGGCTCCATTACATCCCTCTCTTCACTTCAGACACTTTCCCTGCAGCTCATTCTTCTTCAGGAGCGAAAGGAATCATCATTTTCCATCAGTTTAGTGAAAAAACACACAGATGTAAGTGAGGGAGAATACCGACCTAATGGGACCGGACTTGCTGCTGCTCGTCCGGGGCCTGGGGGGATTAGACACCGACGCTTTTTTCTCCCGACAAAACGTTTACTGCGACAAGAGAGGTTAAGTTTTTACGGCGTGTTGGAGGGGCGCTGGTTCTGTCGATAACGCAAAACGCAGCTGTGGCTTTTATAGAAACTTGTTGCGAAATGCGTGACGACTGCTCAAGGTTTGAACTAAATATGTCTTTTTTTTAGACTGGCTTTGACCTGAGAGAACCCCACGGAGCAGAGACACAGGGCTGAGCAACACGGGCTGGTGGGTGCAAACAACACCACAGAACCCGCCTCACGATCTAGTCTCTCTGTTTGGAACTGATTTTAAATATACTTTTCGGAGCGAGAGAGAGAGAGAGAGAGAGAGACACGTGCATGGTTTGTGTTTTTATATTGGTTGTGCTTTTTAACGTATTTTCTGGTTTGTGCCATGGCCCTTTCTTCCCCCATACACAGGACTTTAAGAACGGTCTGTGGCCCGGTCTGTAACCCAGTCCCGGGACAGAGGGAGGAGAAGGACCAGGCTCGGTGAGGACAGCGAGGACAAGCGGACTGTGGCTGTTTTTATTTGTATTTTTAATCATGTTTTAAAGCAGACCCTTGATGTATATACTGTATTTCATGATATATTATCCCATTTTTACCCCGTTTAAGGGTCTTGTTTGGTCGCTCTTACACCCAGTGTCTCAGATTCCTTTTGAAACTTGAGATACCTACACTGAACTGTTTATTTTTGCTTTCATTTTGTGTCTTATTTGCTCTTTGTAAAGTGTCTTTGAGTGTCCAAAAAGTGCAATATAAGTGCAATGTATTATCATAATTATTATTGTCTTTTTTGTATAGACATGTATCGCAGTGACATCACAAAAGCAACAATATTCAAGGGTTCAAAACTTTACTTATTTCTTGTAGAAGTGTTCTGCTCTCTCTTTCTCTCTCCCTCTCTCTCTTTTGATATTTCACATTCTCTATCCATCCAGGCATCGGGTTATATATAAAGAGGAGGAGTTTCATATTTCACATGTTAAGAGGAAAAGTAGAAAGACTTGGCCTCAGATCAGTGGAGTGTCAGCAGGTATGCAGAACACTCAGGACACAGACACACCACTGTCAGACACAGAGAGGGGGAGGGAGAGAGAGGAGAGACAGACCAGAGACAGACCAGAGAGAGATCAGAGAGAGACCAGAGAGAGAAACTGGAAGGGAGAGAGACCAGAGACTATAGAGAGACTAAAGAGAAAGACTAGAGAGAGACCAGAGAGAGACTAAAGAGAAAGACTACTAGAGAGACCAGGGAGAGACTAGAGCGAGAGACTAGAGAGATAAACTAGTGAGAGACCAGAGAGAGACGAGAGACTAGAGAGACTAAAGAGAGAGACTAGAGAGAGACCAGAGAGAGACCAGAGACTAGAGAGACTAAAAAGAGAGACTAGAGAGAGAAACTAGAGAGAGACCAGAGAGAGACTAGAGAGAGAGCAGAGAGAAAGACTAGACAGAGAGACTACAGAGAGAGAGAGACCAGAGAGAGAGAGACCAGAGAGAGAGAGACCAGAGGGAGAAACCAGAGAGGGAGAGACCAGAGAGAGAGAGACCAGAGGGAGAGACTAGAAAGAGAGATCTATGATTTAGGGCTATGCAAAAATACATTGAATTGAATTATTGTTTTGTCGATTACGCCACAAAAAGCAAAACCTCCAGAGAGACATGACTCACCAGCCCATCACAGCTGCTGATGGCGGCCGTGCCCCTACTCCTGGTCCTGGTTGTCCCCCTGGTCCTGGTCCTGGTCACGGAGCCCACATGGTGACAGGTCTGCCCCGCTGACCTCTGCTCTGTGCCTCTGCTGCTGCTGCTGTTCCTCCACTCCACAGTGAAGTCCGGAGACAGCAGCTCAGAGTTGGAGCTCAGGTTGAAGAACAGGGACTGGTCGTTGTACTGGATGGTGTAGTAAATCCGCTCCTCTTCTGCTTGAGGTCCGAGGTCCCGCCTGAGTCTGGGTCTGGGTCTGAGTCCTGAGTGATGGGACAGCGAGTGCGAGAGGAAGGCTCCGTCTGCGCTGGACTTGAACGGGTGCACCACAGTCTGACCTGCAGTGACACAGACGACATTAAAGGAGACGTCATATGGTGTTTGTTAAAGATTCATAAATGCTGATATACAAATATATGTTGTTTGTTGCAACATACCAGAGGGAGAGACCAGAGAGAGAGACCAGAGAGAGAGACCAGAGGGAGAGACCAGAGAGAGAGACCAGAGGGAGAGACCAGAGAGAGAGACCAGAGAGAGAGACCAGAGGGAGAGGCCAGAGGAAGAGACCAGAGAGAGACCAGAGGGAGAGAGAGAGAACAACCACAGAGAGACTAGAGAGACCAGAGAGACCAGAGAGAGAGACCAGAGAGAGACCAGAGAGAGACCCCAGAGAGACCAGAGAGAGACTAGAGAGAGACCAGAGGGAGACCAGAGGGAGACCAGAGAGAGACCAGAGGGAGAGAGAGAGAACAACCACAGAGAGACTAGAGAGACCAGAGAGACCAGAGAGAGAGACCAGAGAGAGACCAGAGAGAGACCCCAGAGAGACCAGAGAGAGACTAGAGAGAGACCAGAGGGAGACCAGAGAGAGAGACCAGAGAGACCAGAGAGAGACTAGAGAGAGACCAGAGAGACCCCAGAGAGACCAGGGAGACCAGAGAGAGACTAGAGAGAGACCAGGGAGAGACCCCAGAGAGACCAGAGAGAGACTAGAGAGAGACCAGAGGGAGACCAGAGAGAGACCAGAGAGAGACCAGAGCGAGACCAGAGAGAGACCAGAGAGAGACCATTGAGAGACCTGAGAGAGAGAAAGTCCATAAAGAGACTGGAAAGATGCGACAGGTGGCAATAATAAACTAATGATATAAATTAGACACAATAACTGCTCCAGGAACTACATGGATCTTTAACACAGACTGGTTTTAAAGTTACGTACAGCAGCTTTAACACAACACGGATCATCCCTTTTTGATCTCAGACAGTTTAACAATAGAAACCAGTGCATTGTGGTCCTGATTGAAATGCAGATGTGAAACGCCTCATTGACAGCAGCAGATTTTCAACTTCTGCTTTGGTTTTACTTCCTGAAATGTCATAAAAAAGTGTCGATACATAGACTGTACATATTCTACTGCATTGTTATAAATTTTGCAGTGCTGAAACTTTGTGAGGAAGAGTGCGAGTCACAACTAGATCTGGGCTGAAGCTCTTTTGTCTGAAAAATGGTTTTAAAATGATTCATGCAGGGTCTTATTAAAGTCATTATTATAAGTGTTTTTTTATAGGAATGAGTTTAATCCTTTAAGCGCCAAAGTAGCAGAGTAGCTTCACAATAATTCATCACTTTCATTCAGACATTTCACTCCATACACAGTGATGATAGACATGTATGGTAGCCACAGCTGCCCTGGGGCACACTGACAGAAGCAATGCTCAATGTCAGAACCAGTATGTGTCATCAGCCCCTCTCACCAACAACCACACACACACACACACACACACACTTTTTTCCTGACTCTATAAGCATTTTTCTTACATACTTTTCTTACACATTATTCATTATTGTTATTGATTTTAGTCGTTGTGTACCTCTTTTTTTTATTTCATAAAACTTAACGTATTAGAAAATTAACTTTTGTAATTTCAGCATCAAAGGCAGTGGTGTCCAAACTCTTTTGTAGTGCCACTTTAGTTCAGTAAAATTGTCCAGGAACCTACAGCACGGATTGACTGGATTCGAGTTGTTCTGATGTTTAAAATCAGGTATGACATGCCAATTGTGGTTCTCATTTGATGGAGCTGAAGTTGGCTGAATGACACATGTTTACTCCCTAGCTAAATTGGTGCCACACAATCAAAGAAATAACCTCCTGAGACCCGAGCATTTGTCTGGTGTGCATTTTATATATTTTTTTGCTATTTAGGATAAGTAGGACCCAATAAGTATAATACCTAAATTGTGATTTTGTACAGGAAGTAGTTTTTGAGAAAAAACATGTCCTCGTATGAGGACAGTGGGTCTCTCATAACCTAAAGAGAAAATTTATGATCTTTTAGGCCGGAAGGTCCTGATTAGTTGAAATTCAAAATTTCAGCTTGATCCAATTAGTACTTCTCTCAAAAATCAATGTCCTCACATGAGGACAGTGGGTCGACCTTACTATACAATACAAATAGACTCCATTGGTCTAAAATAGTATATAACAGTTTATTTGAAAAATGTAAACATCAAAGTTAGACATAAAATCCAAACAGCTCTATCTTCAAAGCCTAAAAATGTCATGGTGTGGACATTTTGACCGGGTTGAGTTTGAATCCTGCCTGTCCTGTTGATTGTTGCCCCGCCCTAATGTGATTCACCTGTGTGTCCCTGTGTGTGTATATATACCTTGTGCCCTTCCTCACTTGTTGTCCGTCCATTGTCTCCACAATGTTTGTCCTGTCTTCAGTTCTGTTTTTACATTACCTTGGATTTATTTTATTAAATTACTTTGATTTTCAGTCCTGCAATTTGGGTTCCCTTTTTCTTCATTCATCCACATGACAAAAAATTGGCTATACATAAATAAAACCGCAAAATACTGTGTAAACTGTCTATTTCAAGCCTTCAATATGGCTGAATTGAATTGATAAATACAATACTAGAACAAATAATGGCAAATATTATTAACAGTCCTAAAACAGTAAAATTCTGCTGAACAGCTTATGAACCGGGGCTTTTTTCAAACTAGCTCCCTCTCTTTTTCTAGAAAGCAATCTGTCTGCCTGTTTGGAAGAGCCCTATTGGCAAGTGTGAAATGCTGCAAAGCAGTTGCATTCACTTTGCAAGCACAGGTACACATTGCATGTCATGCATCGGAGACAGGCTTTTCCAATGCAGTCTTGTGCTCTGCAATGCATGGGGTTTTTCAAGGCTACCATCTCCGGGTTAGGGTTAGGATTACAATATCCCCAGTCGAGGTCAGCAGCTCTCCACCCGCACCATACACGGTGTTGGCAAAGCACTGCTTCCCCCTCCTGAGGCGCCGGAGGGTTTGCCATAACCTTTTTGAGGGCGACCGATAGTCATGCTCCATGGACTCTCCGAACTCCTCCCAGTCCCGGGTTTTTGCCTCTGCAACAGCCCGGGCCGCGGCACGCTTGGCCTGCCGGTACTGGACAGCTGCCTCAGGAGTCCCACGAACCATCATTGCTCGATAGGACTCCTTCAGCCTGACGGCATCCCTTACTGCCGGTGTCCACCACCGGGTTCGGGGGTTGCCGCCGGGACCAGCACCAGAGACCTTGCGACCACAGCTACGAGCCGCTTTATTGGTGATAGAGGAAGAGAACATGGTCCACTCGGACTCAATGTCCCCCTCCTCTGGGTCCTGGGAGAAGCTCTCCCGGAAGTGTGAGTTGAAAGTCCGTCTGACAGGGGGCTCAGCGAGACGTTCCCAGCAGACCCTCACTATACGCTTGGGTCTGCCAGGTCTGACCGGCTTCTTCCCCTGCCAGCGGATCCAACTCACGACCAGGTGATGATCGGTTGACAGCTCCTCCCCTCTCTTTACCCGAGTGTCCGAGACACGCGGTCGAAGGTCAGATGATACGACAACAAAGTCGATCATCAACCTCCGGCCTAGGGTGTCCTGGTGGACACCCTTGTGCTCGAACATGGTGTTCGTGATGGACAGACCGTGACTGGCACAGAAGTCCAACAACTGAACACCGCTCGGGTTCAGATCAGGGGGGCCGTTCTTCCCGATCACCCCTCTTCAAGTGTCCCTGGCATTTCCCACATGGGCGTTGAAGTCCCCCAGGAGAATAACGGAGTCCCCGGGCGGTGCACTGTCCAGTACCCCTCCCAAGGACTCCAAGAAGGCAGGAACTCGGCACTGCCGTTAGGCCCGTAGGCCGTCACAACAATGAGAGACTTGTCCCACCCGGAGGCGGAGGGACGCGACCCTCTCATTCACCGGGGAGAACTCCAACACATGGCGGCTGAGATGGGGGGCAATGAGTATGGCCACCCCAGCTCGCCGCCTCTCCCCATGGGAAACACCAGAAGATGACTGACAGGTATGAGATGATGATACAATCATCCCCATCTGAGAAGTCCTCTATCTCAGAGTTGTCTGCAATTGCCAACAGCAATTGTTCTGCTCTTGACAATGAAAGTGTGCCTGTAATGATAATGTTAAAAACCAACATCAAAATCTACAGTATATCAGTGACACTTCATAGCTTGGCTATCATGTGCTAGCTATAGCCTAGCTATATTGTTTATGATTTAGAATTTAGCAACACTAAACAATACTTAGCATATACCACTTAGTACTTAAATATACTATTTACAACTGTAAACCACATAACTAAGCAAATGTGTGATTCAAAATAACTATTTACAACTGTAACTTCATCTAAATCTTCCACACTGTTAGCTAAACAGATAGCGGTACATAGTCCTAGCGTCCTCAAACGAGTGCTTCACTTTTACTGACATCCTAGCCTGCTACTACAATCAAAATTTGTCAAATTTCAAACTCCATATGAAGCTAGAGACATTATTGTGCATAAAAAAATTGATTTCATTCATAAAATGTTGATAGCATTTTTACCTGGGGCATTTTTCTTCTGTAAACTCTTGTAGAAGTCTTTTGCTGATATTGCCACCATTTTTTTCCTACTGCCTTAAGTGTAATTCTATCATATCACCACAAGATGGCGCGGGCAGTGTCCCTAAATGTGGCCATCAGGTCAAGGATGTAAAAAATTGAGTATCATTGTGCCAAGAGGCAAAAATGTAATGTCCTCGTATGAGGTCGCAGGGTCTCAGGAGGTTATTGTAAGTGGAGTCAAACAAAGTCCAGGGCTGGATTCCATTGTCCGTGTGTATACTTTGTCTTGGTTATGGGCAGAGGGCCGCAAAACATGACAGATAGGACCACAATTGGCCCGCGGGACGTCGTTTGGACATGCTTTTACGACTCAGCACTTTTGAGTTTCTGTGTTTATGGACTTTGCCTTGTCTTGCCTGATCTCTACGCTGTGATAAATGCCCTGTGTAAAAGTTGTATCAAAAAGTCCTTTGTGAGAAACTGGAAACGGGTCTGATGGATAAACCGGAGATGACACATGTGCACTGACCTTGTTCTGCAGAGGGAGGCTGGAACGCGCTGGAGTCAGGGCGCTCTACGTGGCTCTGCGCCAGAACCAAAACAAAGTGGATCCTCAGCAGCAGCAGCAGCAGGAGGAGCAGAGGCAGCAGGGGCAGCAGAGGCAGCAGCAGAGGGGCCCCGCGCACACACCGCATATTCCCAACCTTTGGATCTGGATCGCGTCTTTGGCATTGGAGCTCCAGCAGAGAGAGAGATACTCTGCTACCACTGAGAGAGAGACTAGAGAGGGAGAGACTAGAGAGAGAGACAAGAGAGGTAGACTAGAGAGAGAGACAAGAGAGAGAGAGAGACGAGAGGGAGACTAGAGAGGGAGAGACTAGAGAGAGAGACAAGAGAGGGAGACTAGAGAGGGGGACTAGAGAGAGAGAGACTAGAGAGGGAGAGACTAGAGAGAGACTAGAGAGGGAGAGACTAGAAAGAGAGACAAGAGAGAGAGACTAGAGAGGGAGAGACTAGCGAGAGAGACAAGAGAGAGAGACAAGAGAGAGATTAGAGAGGGAGACTAGAGAGAGAGAGACTAGAGAGGGAGAGACTAGAGAGAGAGACTAGAGAGAGAGTAGAGAGAGAGACTAGAGATCGAGAGATCAGAGAGAGACTAGAAAGAGAGAGACAAGAAGGAGAGACCAGTGAGAGAGACTGGAGAGGGAGAGACTAGAGGGAGAGAGTAGAGAGAGACTAGAAAGAGAGACTAGAGAGAGAAAGAGAGAGAGACTAGAGAGGGAGAGACTAGAAAGAGAGACAAGAGAGAGAGACTAGAGAGGGAGAGACTAGAGAGAGAGACTAGAAAGGGAGAGACTAGAGAGAGAGTAGCGAGAGAGACTAGAGAGCGAGAGATCAGAGAGAGACTAGAAAGAGAGAGACAAGAAGGAGAGACAAGTGAGAGAGAGACTGGAGAGGGAGAGACTAGAGAGAGTAGAGAGACTAGAAAGAGAGACTAGAGAGAGAAAGAGAGAGAGAGAGACTAGAGAGGGAGAGACTAGAGAGACAAGAGAGAGTCCAGAGAGGGAGACTAGAGAGAGAGAGAGAGAGTCCAGAGAGGGAGACTAGAGAGAGAGAGAGACCAGAGGGAAACTGGAGACAAACCAGAGAAACAAGAGAGAGAGACTAGAGATAAAAAGACTAGAGAGAGAGAGAGAGACTAGAACGCACGCGAGAGAGAGAGAGAGAGAGACACTAGAGAGCGAGAGATTGCGTCCTTGGCATTGGAGCTCCAGAGAGAGGCGACGTCCCCAGTGCTGCTACTGTCATGACACGGAGCAGACGCAGCCTCTCTCCCCGCGCACGAAGCCAGACGAGCCCGGGGCGAGACCGCAGAGCTGGGGCTGCAGGATCCGGAGCTGTGGAGCTGGAGCAGGAGCAGGAGGCACCGCGCACAGGGCATGGATCCCGGCTCCGAGAGTGCTGAGAGAGGCGGAGCGGAGATGACCAGTCAACTCGGGTTCATTTTTGTCGACAGAGAGAATGAAGGGGGAGTGAGGAGGGATGAGGTTCTGCTACTGCCGCTGCTGCTGCTGCGGAGGAAAACGCGCTAATTGGTCTGCCACGAATGCAAGAGGAGCCAAAACCCCCCCATCGATATGGCCGTGGCACCTGGAGGCGTTTGGAACCTGTTGCAGCATGCGCGCGCACTGCAAAGTTATCAACGCGAATTTAGCACAAAAAAACTCCAAGCATTTTTTTTGTTTTTTTTTTTTTAAGGGGGAAACTATTTGGGTGTTATGTAACTGCACAATCTGGGTCAAACTCACGGAGCTGGAGCAAGAGGAAATGCTTGGATTCTGTGCGTAAAAAGACCCAAAATGCATCCCTTTATTTGCGGATAAACTGCAATAATTTTAATATTAATAGATTCTCTGTTCGTCCCACAGAAGAAGGAAATAAATAAATGCAGACAGAAAATAATGAAGCTATATTATTTAGTTTGTTGTTTTGAACGTTGTATAATAATAATAAACATATTTAAAATCTCATAATTTGTAGCGATATATTAATAATATGCAGATTGTGACATTTATTTATTAATTATTTTTTTTGACAGTTTTGGTCCTCCATACCACAGTGAGGAAATGTCAGTATTGCATCATAAGTTACAAAACAGTAGAATGATGAGCACACATAAGAGAACAATAACTATACTAAATAAAATAAAATAAATCTATAACTTTAGCATAATGAAGAAGCAAACCACTTAAAAACCACAAACCAAAAATCCATTAATAAAATAATGATTCAGAGACGCTTCACATAATTCATTCACTCCATACACAGTGGTGAATGGGTAGTGTTGTAGCCACAGCTGCCCTGGGGCACACTGACAGAAGCGAGGCAATCAGAAAAATCCCATTGGCCCCTCCCACCACAAAACACACCAGACTCATTCTAGACAATGAGGGAGAAGTGTCTTGCCTAAGGACACAGCGACAGGCACTTCACAGCTGCAACCCAGAGGTCTCCCATCACAGTACTAACCAAACCCTGCCCTGCTTAGCCTTATTGCTCTGACGGGAGCTGACTTTCACAAGCAGGTGGCGCTACAATGTGAGAAAATGCACGTAAAAATATTGTTACAACTTTACTTTACTACTGTTTTGGATCTATGCATTTATTTAAATATCACAGAGAAGACCGCCCTCTCTCAGCCAATCAGCTCTTAGCCAATCAGCTCTCAGCCAATCAGCTCTCAGCGTCAAAGAGTGAATCACAGGGCTCTTCCTCTCAAGTGAAATTGTTGTTTTAATAAGATGCATGTTTTGGCCTGATTTGTTCACAGCATGTAACAGGACTCTCTTTCTGTTCACAGCCAATCAACGTGAGGGGAAAGTTAAGTACCCCAGCTTTAAAAAATAGGGAATGTGCAACTGTATGAAATCCCATTACAACGTATTAACAAACTAATCTGTGTTTAGTTTGTCATAAAGTTTGACCAAAGTACATGTAGTGGGCGTGTCTCCTTTACGCGTGCGCCACAACCAGACCCTACCAGACCACACCAGACCAGACCATTATAGATCCATGTCAGACGCGCGCTCACGTCTCAAGGAGGCGCTGTTTGCTTTTCCTCCGTGAACTTTGCACTTGATCCTGGGCGTGTTTGTGGTTAGTGCAGCTCCAGACGTCACTCTGCGCTCTCCCATGGACCGAGGTTAGAAAAGGTAAGACACAAAAAGCAACATTTGTGCCTAAAAATAGACGTCGTTTTTGCATTTGGTCCAAACCCTCTGCGCGTCCCCAGTGTCTGTGTGCGCGCAGGTGTGGACGAGCGTGCGTGAGTGTTTCTGACGCGTGTCTAAACTTGTCTGTGTGGAATATGGCATGGAAAAGTGTGTTCCATTTGTGCACAAGGATAGAGCAGTCCCGAGGAGACTGGGGGAGTTTGGGAATGTTTTATTATGTTTGAGAAGTTGGGATTTGTATTGGTTAAATGATAAGGGGGGTGCCAGATAGTGTCCAAAATGTAGCCACTATTGAGACAAAGATTGGAAGGACTAGAGAGAGACACAAGAGAGAGGGGACAAGAGAGAAAGACAAGAGAGTAGAGAGTGGAGCGAGAGACAAGAGACTAGAGAGAGAGACCAGAGAGTAGAGAGAGAGACCAGAGAGAGAGAGACCAGAGAGAGAGAGAGAGACCAGAGAGAGAGAGACCAGAGAGAGAGAGAGAGAGAGACCAGAGAGAGAGAGAGAGAGAGAGAGAGACCAGAGAGAGAGAGAGACCAGAGAGAGAGAGAGACCAGAGAGAGAGAGAGACCAGAAAGAGAGAGACCAGAAAGAGAGAGACCAGAAAGAGAGAGACCAGAAAGAGAGAGACCAGAGAGAGAGAGAGACCAGAGAGACAATAGAGAGGGAGACCAGAGATACAAGAGAGCGAGAGACCAGAGTGAGAGGCTAAATGATTTTAGTTTACTTTTGACTTTCAGTTTTGATGGCAGTAATATGAGTTACCATGGTAACAACCACAGAAAGCAACAATATTTTTTAATTTAGTGTAAAATTTGAACCCATCGTAATTATAAACTGTTAATCCAAACATAAATCATTGGCCAATCCTCTAAAGCCTGGTTCACACGAGACCATTTTAAAATTGTCGGACTTTGACCCAGTTTTGGTTCAGTCCAAACACAACAGGAACAGTCCAAACTCAGGTAAAAAAATCCTTTGACGATTTAGAAAAAGCACTAAATCCTGATTCAAAGACGAGCTTCAAACACATGTGGCCCAACGGGAGCTATCGTTCTCTAGAAAGGTCCTGGTTCTGTCCTGGTTCAGTCCTGGTTCAGTCCTGGTTTCGTTCAATTATACGTCTTGTTTCAGACCTGGTTTAGACCTGGTTTAGACCTGGTTTAGACCTGGTTTAGACCTGGTTTAGACCTGGTTTAGACCTGGTTTAGACCTGGCTTGGACCTGATTTGGACTTTGTTTAGACCTGGTTTAGACTTTTTTTCTGTTCTTTTTTTGTCCTGTTTCAGTTCTGTTACAGTCTTGTTTCAGACCTGGTTTAGACCCGGTTCAGTCCTGATTCAGTCGTGATTTAGTCCAGGTCCAGCCTTGGTTAAGACCTGGTACCAGTGATAACATTATAACTATGTGTTTGTTGCAGGTGAAGTGGAGGCTGCTGCGCTCAGAGAAGCCGCTCTCATGGGGGTCTTTTGGAGCGCCGTTCTGTGGGGCCTCAACGTGTGGCTCCTCCTCGTCCTCGGTCTCATCATGGTCCCGGCCATGTTCGGTTTCTCTCTGGGAATCTCTGAAACATACATGACGATACTGGTCAAGACTCTAGAGGTACTCGCTGAATGTCTACATCTGATGTTTTCTGCTTTTTGAAACAAATGGAGTTGCAAATGTTCGTTTCCAACTTCAATAAGATCAGAACTAGGGCTGGACGACAAAACGATAACGATATATATTGCGATAGACACATATTAGATATCAATAGAAAACGGTGTCGATAGAACTTCGATAGTTTCATTTCAGTCCGTTCGAAAAAAACAGGAACAAAACACAGGAAGTAAAGCCGAATCAGAAGCGCACTGCATTCTGGGGGATGTAGGCAAAGGCTTCTCGACCTATCACAGCCGACTACAAACCGCAAAACTTTCTGGGAAAAGCAAAACAACAGCCGCACCACGCGTAGCGTCCTTGGATCATGGATCTATTATAATAGCCATGGATCTAAAGATTGTGTTTCAGTGCAGTTTCAATGGTTAAAGGTCCTATATCACGCTTTTCTTCATGTTTCACACTCAATCCTATACACATGTGTGATATTAATGTGTATGATACACCACACAACAATCAAAGCTTGTGAGATTAGAGCCATCTCTTGTATAGAGGTGACGTCACCTCGACTCAAACGAGCTGATCCAGAGAAGAGTCTGCTCCTCTGCCTGTGAGCCCGCCTCCCCCCGCCCGCACGCTGACGTAGCATCACGCTTTTGTCGTTTATCACCTGTACTTAGTAATTTCATACATAAGAATAAACTTTTTCCAACAATGACAATCCGTCACATCGAGCCCTATGTCCTCGATGCACAATCAGACCCTAGTTATTTAGTTTACAGAAGTATACAGCGAGTTAGCGTCACTAATTACAGATCGAGGGGGTCCGAGTTACGTCTTTTACCGTGGGAATAACGTGTTTCCAGATCAGCTTTTGAGTAAGTCCAGTTCCATTGTCCCTGTAGTTCTGGAACAGTCTCAGTGAAGTGTCGCAGATGAACCGGTATTATAATAGATCCATGAGATGAACAGATGAAAAAAGTCGAGCCGCTTTCTTCCTCTTAAGGCCAAATAGTGTGTCACATATTTACACCCATAACACACTTCATTCAAGTTGACGTGATCCTAACACTTTTAGTTGCTGACAAAAGCATAAAAACAGCAGCTCTATGTGGTGTCCGCGAGACCAGACCACAGACGCTGGACTCGGGAGCCGGAGCCTGTGCGCTCTGATTCGCTGTTTTGATCCGTCAATCACCTCCCTCCGGCTTTTAATTTATTTTTATTTTATATTATTTTTGACAAAAAACAGCATACTAATTGTGTATTGTTTACCCCGTTTTGACAAAAGTATTTAACAACTATTTTAAATATAAAGCAAACGGGGTCATGCGCGTCATCAGTGTGGTTTTCGTCACTGAAGTGGACCCGAGCGATTCTGTGCCTCACGCTGGGGAAGGAGACAGATTGCTCTCTTACAAAAGATTGACAGAATCAATGAATAAACAACTGTGGGCTTGTGTATGAAGGCCAAATAGCATTGTAATCATGTTTAAAGCAGAGAAAAGTCAAAAACCGTGATATGGGCCCTTTAAACACGTCCGTGCGAGGAACAGCATGTGGGTACAACTTTTTCCGGAGCCGTCACAGGGACTCAAGACAGAACACATTTTTATCTATTTGATTAAAGCTGGGGTATCTAACTTTCAAATCATAAAATGGTGAACTACTGTATGTAATTCAAAATCCACATTACCAGCTGACAAACCATTACGTCCTTTCAATACAATCATATAACTTGCATATTAATATTCAGGTCAAATACCAAGTGCAGGTAATTAAGGTTAAAAGGGAAGGTTGTTTTGTTAAGATAAAAGTGCAAGTTACTAAAATACACGCAAATTGTGCAAAGAATGGAGTTTTGACTTTTCTCATGGCTGTAAGTTAAAATCAAGGTGCAATACAGGGTTACAGTTAACATATGTAAAGCACACAAATGAATAATAATAATGTCTATCAAATGTACTCACGAGGGTATTATGGGATAGCCGTTATACCCAAAGGTGCAGTAACTGAAAGTAAGATAATAATCGGGTTGTCTGGTTCTGTTAATGCACCCAGGACTGATGTTGTAAAAGCCAGTCCTTCTAAGCATGGGAGAAGTTGTTAAAATCTCATGTATAAATTCAGCATATTGTGTTACCTCAGCTCAACAAAAAGTGCAGTTATTCCAAAAAATCTGGCACTTTGCTCCCGTGATGCCCGCTGATTTGAAATGTATTGTTTTCATTGCACAGTGGGCAACGCTGAACATCCAAGAAACAAAAGCAGAGGAGCAGACTCTCAAATCCAGTTCTTCTAACGGTGAGTAAAGGACACAGACGTCTTTAAAGGGGACGTGTTGGCTGAGGCTAGCACAAGGGTTAAAGGAGCAGTATGTAAAAATCTGGCCAAAAGTGGTACTGCAGCCTCTCCCACTCTTCCAGACTCAAGTTGCCAGATATGCAGACGAATCCAGCTGTGACTATCATATCTGAATAGGGCGGGACATCGACATGAAAACAATAACAATAAAGATTTAGGGGCTGTAGAACAAATTTTCAAACTCAAATCTCTGAACTACTGTTATCAATTAAAGAAGTATTGGAAAAGATCATGTTTTATTAATGCCTTTTGACAGATTAGGGCCCTTTTAATGATGACTTGACATCATAATTTTGCTACTTTAAGCTAATACTTCACAATAACACCACAGAACAAAAGAAAAACTCTCCATATAGTTTTTAAATGGCTAAATATACAGCCTCATATTTCTCCTTTAACACATTTTCAGCGGTGGTTTTTGAAGAGAAACCTTATCTCTTTATTATGAGGGCTGCTGTGGTCTAAAGAGTATAGTTTATAAAGAGACATTGGAAACCTGGCTCCAGAGCAAATACACAAACGGCTAAATATAAAGACACAGCCTGAAACTTGACCCAGCGCCTCACGGTTACACCTGTTGGTGATAGACAAAAGGAAGTTTATTTTAATAGAGTTTCAACGCATTGTAATTTGATCTGTAGCTTATTTCAAATCAAAATCCTACTTTGAAACTAAACTTGACCTATTTAAAGTAGCAATATGTAAGATTTTCATGTCAGGTCATCATTAAAGGGCCCTAATCTGTCAAAAGGTGTTAATAAAACCTGCTCTTTTCCAATACTTCTTTAACTGAAAACAGTCGTTCAGAATTAGTTTTACAGCCCCTAAATTTTGTTATTGTTTTCATCTCGATGTCCCGCCCACAACTATTTCACCCCATTCAGAAAGTCATGATCCGGGCGCCAGAACTCACTGTGTCGAGCTAATCTCACTGAAGTAACTTGTAGGCGCAGAACTAAAAAAATGTCTCGTTATGATTCTCAAATCATTGACGACAAAACAAGGAATAAAACCAGAATTTCTATCTTTGTGAAAAAGGTGTTGATTATAGAACTCTTGTCTATTCAGCTGTTATGGGCTCAGCTGGATTCATCTGCATATCTGGCAACCTGAGTCAGGGAGTGCAGTACCATTTTAGGTTGGATTTTTACATACTGCTCCTTTAAGAGAAATACAGAAATATGTGTTAAAATTTGCCCAGTACTTTGAGTTTTCAGACAGGCCATGATCAAAACAACATTTCTTACTGTATGAACGTCCAATGATCATGTTTTGATTTGTTAATATGTTAAAACTGGACTAAAAGTAAGAAAAGCTTGTCATTGCAGTTGACAAGCTTGTGTTCCTGGTTCAAAGTCTAGAATATAATAACTGGTTGTGGTGTTTTACTTGAGAGAATTAGCTTTAAAATAATGTATAACATGCCATAGTAGCCCATATCTACCTCTTAGTATCAGAGGAGAGAAGATGAGAAGAAAACCTTGATTTGTCTCACAGTGGAGAAATTTCAATGTTGCAGTGCACATACAGGGCAGTAATGAGAGCACACAAAATATACATAAGTAGCTATGCTAGGTTTCTGTGCTAGCTTAAATGCTTCCATATAAACATATATCTATCTGTCTATATATAGGGTGAACGTATATGTACATATAGAGCAGGGTAATTTAGTGGACATTCATGATATACAGAATTTACTATTTACAGATGAGCTGACGTGTACAGGCTCCGCAGCTCTCATTGTACAGTCTGACAGCAGCAGGAAGGAGAGACCCGCGGAACCTCTCCTTCACATGTTTTATCCAATCAATATGTTTAAAAGCAGCATCGAACTGAGATTGAACTAAACCAAAACTGGACCAAAAGTAAAGAAGGATTGTCAATATATACAGACAGATGTAGATGTTATTGTCATGTATTGTATCCTGATGCTGTTGTTTTGAGAGAACTGGCTTTAAAATGATGTATAACATGCCATAGTAGCCCATATCTTCCTCTTAGTATCATTGTTTAAAAGTATTGATTCTCTGATCAGTTGTTGGTAAATCAGCAACTTTGTAAAGTCCTTCCAAGGCTACTGCTGTTGTGATTTAGCCTTCAACACAAAATAATTTAATGGAAAATTCAATTGTAAATCAAGTACCCCGCTGTAATACCCCTGTGTACCCTTAGGAGTCCACGTACCGCCGGTTGGGAAACACTGCTTTAAAACACACACTAACAGCAAAGAATGTTAAAATGTCAACAATAAAATACTTACTACGACTAATACTAACAGAATATTACTGTTTATTTTTAACAGAAGCGAATGACATACTTTGTGTTTTAGTATTTTTTAGTACATTTCTTGGACCTTTAACATTTATAGAAATAGCTTCAGTTTGTGCCTCACCTAGACCTCTTGAACATTGTCCTGTGTTATCAGCCGATGCTACAGTAATCTAAGGAAGAATGAGGCGTTGCGGAACTAATGTCGTTAAAGCTGAAAGTTTCTTAAATAACTTTGATTTCGTTCTGGTTTTTCTACTTCACTGAGTCTATACGGCTGGGGTAATAACAACAACAGACGTGTATAAGTCTACTCCAGGCATGTCCAAACCTTTATATACCGCATGTGACCCAAAACTTGTGGGGCTAGAGATAGAAATTAAAAAAAATAAACAAAAAAACCACGGTCCGCGAGCCAAATATGGCCTGTTATGTAATTTGAGGTGGTCCTAATGCCGCTAATATAAAGTAGCCATTGCGGTCCTTTAACAGTGTCATCCAGCCAACTTCAGCTCCACCGATACAGCCATGTCCCACCCTGAAAAGCTTTATAAAAAATGTTTTGCATTTACTGACATTTGTTTTTGATTGTGTTGTGTGTGTGAATGGTTGGTGGTGGTCAGAGGGGCCGATGGCACAGACTGGTTGCCTTGTTTCTGTCAGTGTGTCCCAGGGCAGCTGTGGCTAGAGTAGTAGTTTATCACCACCGTGTATGGAGTGAATGAATTATGATACAGTATGACCACAAACAGTCAAAAGTGTACTTGTTTCTGGCCCCAGAGAGAGGGCAGGAGCGGGGACTGGGAGGAAGATACGGGCGACCATTTTTATATGGGTGGGGTGAACTGGAGCCAAGCCCCGGTGATCCAAGATGGCGCCCTATTCAAATGAATGGCTTGTGCTCAGTAGCGCATGGGACTTCATGGGGACCGGGAGATTAGCAGAACTCGCCTGTATTTGGGCATCGTCTGGTCCTCCCGGTTCTGCTCAGTGACTTATCTCCCATGATGCGTTGCGCCAAACGTGTGTGTGTGGCTTTCATGCACGTGCACGGAGGGGCTCAGCCGCGCTCTGACCAATCGGAGCTGATCATCAGAACAGCAGAAGAGCGGAGCCAGAGCGGGAAGGCAAGGAGCAGAGTTTGTGGCAGTAAAGTGTGGATTTAAAGAACACCGAAGGATTTAAGAAGAAAAAAAGTTCAGGATGACGAGACACCAAAATCCCCACAAAATCCGATATTTATGAAAGCTGTAGGTTCTCTGTCAGCTGAGGTCGTGCTGTTTTAATTTACATTGAGTTCTATGGGACTTTTTTCTGGGGAGCTCACGTGAATTTAGTCTGCAGTACCACGGGCGCCCCCTCTGCCCATGAGTGGGACTGCTATAAGCTAGTAATACCCTATCCAGTTATTATCATAGATCCATGACCGGAGCACCCAGAAGAAACCTACACAGACTCAAAAAGGCCCTGTCTGGAGGTGGAATATTTCCTGTTTATCCATCCATCCATTTTCTTCCCCTTAATCCATTTCTGGGTCGGGGGGTGGCAGTCAGAGCTGCACCCAGTACACATAGCACCAGTCCCTCACTGATCCTCCTGCAGGTGCTGAGTCCACAGGAGCAGAGATCTTTCAGTTGGGGCTTCAGGCAAAGCAGGGTTAGGTGTCTTGTCCAAGGACACAAGGACAGCAGACATCAGTGGGAGTCGTGAAGTAGGTGGGCTCGAACCCACAACCTTCAGGCCCAAAGGCCAATGCTCTACCAACTGAGCTACTGTCTCTACTGTCGCCCCTGTTTAATTGTATATATTCAAGGTTGAGTTTGAGTCCATCTCATCTCTCTGCACAGATACAGAAGTAAAAAAATAATCTATTACAGAGAATATTCTGTTTAAAAAGTCTTGTTACAGTTTTAGCAAGTAGTATAAAATGATTGTGTTTCGCTTTTTTGTTCTTATTCAATAAAAAATGGAGATGAACATGTGGAGAAATATAGTGTGTATATTTTTCCGCAGTCCAGCCCTGTGGCTCAGATAAAAGTATGTCCCTTATCTTTGCGATGGCCTCAGAGATCACACTTGCATCATCCTCAGTTAGCGATGCCATAAAACACATTGTAAACAACAGGACAGTCTAAGTCCTTCTGTCTTTTATGGCTTAAAACCCTTTCTGCAGCACTTGTCTGCCCTCTTTTGTTGTTGACGTTAGCTTAGCCTGGTTAACAGCTACGAAGAATGCAGCTGTTAGCGTAGCATTAGCATAACGTTAGCTTACCTAATGTTGATACGTCATCAGCATTAGATATGTGAGATACGTCATCCTTAATTAACCCACTAGTTCCTCTCACAATGCTAAAATCTCAAGCTATGTGTTGATACCATGGATCTATTATAATAACTGGATAGGGTATTACTAGCTTGTAGCTGAATAACTCATGTGCTCAGAGGATTCTCGCGGTACTGCAGACTGAACCAGACTAAATTCACGTGGGCTACCCAGAAATTTTCCCCATAGAACTCAATGCATATTAAAACAGCTCGACCTCAGCTGACAGAGAACCTACAGCTTTAATAAAGATCGGATTTTGTGGGGATTTTAGTGTCCCTTGTCATCCTGAACTTTTTTTCTTCTTAAATCCTTCGGTTTTGTTTAAATCCACACTTTAGTGCCACAAACTCTGCTCCTCTGGCTCTCGCTCTAACTCCCGCTCTGATGAACTGCTCTGATTGGTCAGAGCGCGGCCGAGCCCCTCTGTGCACGTGCGTGAGACCCGGTGTGAGACCCACACACGCGTGTTTGGCGCAACGCATTATGGGAGATCATCCACTGCGCAGAACCGGGAGGACCAGACGATGCCCAAATACAGGCGAGTTTCCCATAGATCTTTGCGAGTTTCAGGCAACTTCCGCTAATCTTTCAGCCCCCATGCCGTCACAAAGCGCCACTGAGCACAACCATTCATTTGAATAGGGCGCCATCTTGGATCGCCGGGGCTTGGTTGATACTAATATGTTTGCCACTCAAGAAGCCATTTTGAAACCACAATTATGGTTTAAGGTTTAAATTGGGTAAAATACAGTAATTCTACAGCTGCAGTATATTAAAAATGCTGCTGCCCGAGTCGTGACTAGAACCAGGAAGTACCATCACGTCAGTCCAGTTCTCAGGTCTAAGTAAGTAAGTAATCTTTCTCAAACCAGAGTCACAAAGCGCTTTACAATTGTTATTTTTTTGGGCTTCTTATTGCTCAGAGAATAGACTTTAAAGCTGCTCTGTTTATTACAAGTCTCTCCATGGTCATTGTGCTAAGTTAACACAAAAGGTGCCAGATTTTAGCCGCTTTTTTCACTGTTATGGAAGAAAAAAAAAGGTTTATCAACTCCACCCTTCCCATCCCGTTGGGTCCACAGGTCTGATCCAGAGAGAGGGCGGCTCGATGGAGACAGAGCTGGAGGAGCTGAGGCGCAGTCGGCCCAAACCTCCCGTCGGCGGAGACTTCACCCTCAGCGACTGTTTCTACTTTTCCCGCAAAGGAATCGAGAGCATCGTTGAGGATGAGGTACGTTCAGACAAATCCTACTTTTTCTGTTGTGACAAACTACATGTAGTATTTATGACAAAAGCTTGCTATCTCAGTTTTAATATCTGGATTTTCTGGAACTCCAACGGCGAAGAATAATGTTTTTTTTCTATCTGTAACTGGGTAGTGAAAGGACTTTGCAGCTCCATATTTTAAGACACAGTAATTCCCACAGATTTTCCCCTGGTTTTAAGATATGTGAATCAAAAATCAATCAATCCTAATATTTATTTGTAGCGCACATTTAAAACCTACCAGGGGTCTCCAACCTTTCCGGTAGCTCGTCAAAGGATTTAGAATTTAACAAATGACCTTGAATGAATACATTTTGAGTCATAAAGTATCTATTATAAGTATAAACATAGGGTTATACAGTATTATGGTATATTTTACGTGTGTTCTTCATGTTTGTTCGTAATTATTTGATAGAATTTTATTACAACTGCAAAAAGGAGTAGCTCTCTGCCTCTTTTTTTTGTATGAAAGTAGCTCTCCGAATGAAAAAGGTTGGAGACGCCCTGAAGGCTTACCAAAGTTCTGTACAGACAGTGAGAAAAAGAAAGAATAAAAAATTAAAACGGAATATTAAAATAGAGAAATATGTATATACACATAAAAGTAAAAACCGAAAACTTGTCTTTTTCTACCTGTTATTTAAAGCCAAAGAGAAAAGGTGTGTTGTAAGAAAGAATTTTAAGTCCTCGAGTGATTGTGTGGTTCTAATCTGCAAAGGTAAAGAGTTCCACAACTAAATCGTGTTTCCAGGTGACCCAGCGTTTCTCTTCAGAGGAGCTTGTGTCCTGGAACCTTCTGACTCGAACCAACGACTTCCAGTTCATCAGCCTCAAACTAACGCTGGTGTACGGCCTGGGCATCATTGTCCGCTACTGCATCCTCGCTCCACTCAGGTACCGCCATGCTGGAATCATAGACTGTATTTTAGGAGAGGACCGACCTGGTGCTCACGTCTGCATAGTGTCTGCTTTGATGTATACACTGCAAAAAGTTATACAATTGGGTAATAATTGCTTGAATCGAGTGTTTTTTTATCTTAATCTGACACATTCTGACTGTGATAAAACAAGATTCTCCACAGAGACAAAGCCATTTAGTATTAATTTCAGGAATCGCGTTATTTTATCATTCCAAAGGAGACATTTCTTGTTTATTTTCGCTTTGTCCTAGTGGAAAATCTTGTTTTTAAGGCTCAGTCAAAAAGTGCAGTCAATCTAGACGCAATTTTTTTAAGTACTTCTGTGGGAAACGTCCCTAAACCCCAAAGGTAGTCAAGTGATTATGTATTGTATAAATTGTGCTCTTGTGCTCCTCACCAGCTCAAGCCGATTTTTTTGTCACAGAAAGCTCCTTATTGGTCAGTTCTTAAGGCTCATATCTGTATTTATAAGGTCAATATTGCAGGTATATACACCAGGATTAACTCATTGACTGCCATTGACACTATTTGTCTAAGACCCTCTGTTCGACTGGGAATTACAGGACGATAAAAATAGCTAAAAACTAATTAATTTTTGCTGATCAAAGTATCCAGTCTTTCAGAATCTGGTTTTACATTTCATATAGTCTAATAATATTCTATGGGTCTTGAGAATCAGTGAAATCTACTACGTCACTGAGCAAGAGGAGAAAACTAGTGATTGAACGAGTTTGATGTATTTTCGGACATTTTCTACATTTAAAAGTATTCTCTTGCTCAGTAACCGTAGAAGCTCACCAATTTGAGCGTTTATGATATCTGACATGGCTCCATTTGAAAGTTGGACACCCCAGCTTTCACAGGAAGGCTGGAGAAGAGGCCGTTACAGTAGTCTATGGTAGAGTCTAAATCGTTCGTCGGCGTCTGCGTCTAACCCTGAACATGTTCCATAGGATTACTTTGGCCTGCATCGGCTTGACCTGGTTGGTCATCGGGACGTCTGCGGTTGGATTCCTCCCAAACAACAGGTAGAAAGTGCTACATATGAGTCCTAATAAAGCCTAAATACATAATAATAAATACTTATACAACACATTTGATCACATTTACGACCACAAACTAAAGGAAATGGGTTTGGCTTGAAAAAAAAAACGATTAAAGAACAAATATGACACGTTATTTTTGTCCATTGATAATAATAATATTTATTTACTTTGTCATTTAATGTTTTAGAATGTGAAATAATATCTTAAATAGGAAATATATGGGGAAACAAGTACCAAGGGTAACAAATGCTTTCTGGCTGTAACTCCCCATGCTGCCACCAGAGGGAGAAGTTATTATTTTTTATTTAATTTTTTTTCAATTGGAAATAAATATGTGATTGCAAAGAATGTAATTTCACTTTAGAAATTAGCAATTCATGGGCAATACTTTTGTTTTAAAAAGTCAGAAAACTGGTCTGAGGGTGATCATACTATTACAGGATTGAGACGGGAGCTTTTAGACAGAACGGGCGGAGCTACATGTATGGCCCAGAAATTCCTGATATTAGAGTGGATGGGTCTAAAAACAGCTCCAGATCGGGAACAATGTTGTGACATTTAGACAAGAATCTGTTTCCTGTATTGTGTTAGAAAGGTCCCCAGTCAAAGTCCAGACCTAAATTCTTTTGAAAACACACTCCGACTTATCTGACAGAGCGACGGTTGTTTTTGTACGGAAGAATGGACAAAACTTTCAGTCTCTAGATGTGCATCGCTGGTATAGTCGTATTCTGAAAGACTTTTTGCTGTGATTGTAAGAAAACTTGAGCAAAACCAGCCTTTTTTAAACTTTTTATTTTTTTTTAAATATCTGTAATCATTTTATTTTTACTTCAAAATGGTCCGGTTCTTTGCTGTGTTCTGTCAAAACTAAACAAAAATCCGAAATAAAGTTGTATTGTTACATTTTTAAGCCACTGCCTGTGATTATCAGCAAACTGTACAAAATAAACCGTTTTTAATTTGTTTTTTAGTGTCAAATACTGGCTCAGCGAGTGGGTCCATGTGATGTGTTACCGCATCTGCGCTCGCGGACTTTCGGCTGCGATCCGGTACCACAACAGGTGACGCCTTTAAACATCGCTAAATCTATGTCTGTGTTTTTTTATTTTAAGTATTTCTCATGTTTTCTACACCTTTCCACAGAGAAAACAAACCGCAGAAAGGCGGCATCTGCGTTGCCAACCACACCACGCCCATCGACATCGTGATTCTCTGCAACGACGGGTGTTACGCGATGGTGAGTCCCTCTGTACGGCAGGGGTGTCCAAACTTTTATAGTGTAAGAGGGCCACTTTAGTTCACCATGGCTGTCTCTCAAATCCAGCTTCCGTTCAACTGATGTCAAAGTGCAACTGGTTGAATCGCTGGGCCGAGGAAGCTGTGCATGGCAGGGCCTGGTTAGTGCTGGGATGGGAGACCTCTGGGAACAGCAGGTGCCACAGTGAAGCGGCTGTGACTGTAAAGTGCCATTTGTTCCGGAGGAGCGGATCCCTTTCTCAAATGGGTCTCCCTCCCTGTGGGTTTCCCTAGTTCTCCCCAAGGTTTCTCACTTTTTCCCACTGGGTTTTTTAAGAGTTTTTCCTTGTTGATGCAGGAGGGTCTTGTTGGACAGTTAATGTCCAACAGAAAGGATTGGTGATGATCAGGAAACTTTAGCATTCTACAACATGTATGGACATTTTCTTCTGTGTGTGCTTTATATTCTTCATGTGTTTTAACTGTTGATTCTCTGACCTGTGTTCGTGATTTCAATGGTTTTGTCTCTGAGATTACTTCTGTTGTGACCTAGGGCTATACAAGAACAAATTGTATTGTATTGTAAAACTGTCATTGTGTGCTTAGGCAAGACACTTCACCCACATTTAGAACAAGGGTCTCCAACCTGTAGCACGGGAGCCACTAGTAGCTCGCCAAATTATTTAGAAATGAACAAATCAAATAATATACTTAATATTTCAGATTGTATTATTCATTATCATTATATTATTGTAAATGCAACATTACTTTGTCACTAGTAACAAATACAGTTTGTGAGGATAAATAATGACTGTACCCGATATCAGGCTCGTTCACACCAATATAATAAATATAAAAATTCCAGGGTTAAATTTTTTAACCATTGTGTGGTTGGTGGTGGGAGGAGGAGGAGACATGTGAAGCGTCTTTGCGCTTCCAAAAAAGCGCAATATAAAACAGATTTATTTGTATTATTATTATTATTATTATTATTATTGAAAGAGCCAGGTGGGCAAAAATAGCACTTTTTGAGGTGTTCTGAGAAAGCCAGGATGGACCAGTGTGGGTCTGAGCTGTTTGTCACCTCACAGGGCAAAAGCCTAATGTACAATTCCGTCTGTGAACTAAACAAGTCCGAAAATTAAATAATATATTAGCGCTGACAAACCTCTGATTCAATGACACTCGATTTCAGTCCAAGACGTGAAGACACATAAATGGCTGTCTCTTTTGTCTGGTCTGTGTGATTTAAATTGGAGCTAGAGTATGTTATAAAGTTGAAATGAAAAAAGTAACGAGTAATAATAGTGAAAAGTTTGTGCTCTACCTAAACCCCAGCAGGTGGAGTACATCAGTAATCTGTGTTTATGAGTGTCACAGACAAGGAAGATGCTGGAAACAACAGTGGTATTAAGAACAGAAAGGCAGTTGGATAGAGTTTAACTTCTCACTCTTTTTGATATATTTATTAAAAGCTGGAATACTTGATTTTCTATGTTTGCAAGTCGGTTTTTGCAGAAGTTTGTCTTAATATTATTTCCGTAGACTTTAAAAAGATTTGAATAAGTCTTAAATTCCACTGGTCCACCCCTGCAGAAGCTAAATAACGTGATAATTCAGATGTTGGTGATGTCCAGGTGGGGCAGGTCCACGGAGGCCTGATGGGGGTGGTGCAGAGGGCCATGGTGCGCTCCTGTCCTCACGTGTGGTTCGAGAGAGCAGAGATGAAAGATCGCCATCTAGTGACCAAAAGGTGAATATGCATGTTGGATTTTTGAACGTCTACTTAAAACTCTGGTATTTTCTTGAATTCTTTTTCATACGTACATCTTGGTTGCAAAATAAAGGGTGAGGAAAGGGTTAAATGTCTCACTTTATTGTCTGAAAAAGCTCAAGTTAGAGGCAAAAAATACATTAAACCAGTGATAAATACAGTTACATTTGAAAGCTTTTGTTTTTAAGTTTTAGGGACCAGAATTAACACAAATAATGCATAATACCGGTACTTGCTGATACTTCCTTCTTGTATTTCATGATTTTTTTTGTTGTTCTGTCCAGGTTGAAGGATCACGTGAGCGACAAGACCAAGCTTCCCATATTGATTTTTCCTGAAGGTAAAATGTCCACTTTTACGCTGTGTCTTTAAACACTCAGATCTGTCGTCCTGAGATCGGTTACTGATGTTGAACTCCTCAGGAACCTGCGTCAACAACACGTCCGTCATGATGTTTAAAAAGGGAAGCTTTGAAATCGGAACCACAATTTACCCAGTGGCCATTAAGGTGAGTGTCGCCGTCTGTGACTGTCTGTAGCTGTCTGTAGCTGTAGTCAAAAGCAGATTTTTAATACATCTTTAAACTAGGTCTGGGGAATGTTTCTCTAGGATTTTGGTAGAATTAATTAAAATAATCCATTCCATTATTTATAACTTGATTTATGGACAGAGGTCATCCAGCTCTCTACAGACCAATGATTCTGTGTTTGTTATTATTGCATATCAACTGCAGTTTGAACTGTTTTTTTATTTTTGGTGGACTTTGTTAAGTCCACCAAGACAACTGCTGTTGTGATTTAGGGCTGTACAAAAATGTATTGATGTAAACAGACTCACAGGGCTTTTGTATGCAATAGAATACATTATTCTAAAGCTATAGATAGCATGTTCAGGTCTGATTTATTCAGAAATTTTTACTTTTACAAGACAAAGAAAAACAAGTAATTATATTAGAACTAATTATATTGCATTTACAAACTGTTTATTTGCAGAATGAAAAAATATTTGAAGAATTCACCCAGTAATATCAAAAAGCCACCTAATTTTTTGTCAAACTTTGATCAAATCGGAACCGTTATGTTATGGCAAGCTAATGCTATGCTAATAGTATGCTAATAGCTGTTCTTCATAGCATCGTTATCTATGCTAAGCTAATGTCAACAACTGTTAAATCAGTGTTTCATTTATAAAAGATACTAATGAGAGGATGAAGTGTTTTCTTTACAATTATCTGTAGCCTGGACCAGGAAGTGCTTTGACCTCACTCTTTTATTGTTTCTAATGGGAAAAAAGTATTCTACATTGAACAGAACCTAGTCCTTCTGTTTGTAGTTGTGTTGATTCCGGTCTTGTTTTCATGTTTCCTCCTCTTCAGTACGACCCGCAGTTTGGTGACGCCTTCTGGAACAGCTCCAAGTACAGCATGGTCAGTTACCTGCTGAGGATGATGACCAGCTGGGCTCTAGTCTGCAACGTATGGTACCTGCCGGCCATGCACCAGCAGGTCTGTAGACTCATGATCAAATCTACATCACAGACCAGAGAGAGAGACCAGAGAGAGAGAGACCAGAGAGAGAGAGACCAGAGAGAGAGAGACCAGAGAGAGAGACCAGAGAGAGAGACCAGAGAGAGAGACCAGAGAGAGAGACCAGAGAGGGAGACCAGAGAGGGAGACCAGAGAGGGAGACCAGAGAGGGAGACCAGAGAGGGAGACCAGAGAGGGAGACCAGAGAGGGAGACCAGAGAGGGAGACCAGAGAGGGAGACCAGAGAGGGAGACCAGAGAGGGAGACCAGAGAGGGAGACCAGAGAGGGAGACCAGAGAGGGAGACCAGAGAGGGAGACCAGAGAGGGAGACCAGAGAGGGAGACCAGAGAGGGAGACCAGAGAGGGAGACCAGAGAGGGAGACCAGAGAGGGAGACCAGAGAGGGAGACCAGAGAGGGAGACCAGAGAGGGAGACCAGAGAGGGAGACCAGAGAGGGAGACCAGAGAGGGAGACCAGAGAGGGAGACCAGAGAGGGAGACCAGAGAGGGAGACCAGAGAGGGAGACCAGAGAGGGAGACCAGAGAGGGAGACCAGAGAGGGAGACCAGAGAGGGAGACCAGAGAGGGAGACCAGAGAGGGAGACCAGAGAGGGAGACCAGAGAGGGAGACCAGAGAGGGAGACCAGAGAGGGAGACCAGAGAGGGAGACCAGAGAGGGAGACCAGAGAGGGAGACCAGAGAGGGAGACCAGAGAGGGAGACCAGAGAGGGAGACCAGAGAGGGAGACCAGAGAGGGAGACCAGAGAGGGAGACCAGAGAGGGAGACCAGAGAGGGAGACCAGAGAGGGAGACCAGAGAGGGAGACCAGAGAGGGAGACCAGAGAGGGAGACCAGAGAGGGAGACCAGAGAGGGAGACCAGAGAGGGAGACCAGAGAGGGAGACCAGAGAGGGAGACCAGAGAGGGAGACCAGAGAGGGAGACCAGAGAGGGAGACCAGAGAGGGAGACCAGAGAGGGAGACCAGAGAGGGAGACCAGAGAGGGAGACCAGAGAGGGAGACCAGAGAGGGAGACCAGAGAGGGAGACCAGAGAGGGAGACCAGAGAGGGAGACCAGAGAGGGAGACCAGAGAGGGAGACCAGAGAGAGGGAGACCAGAGAGGGAGACCAGAGAGGGAGACCAGAGAGAGGGAGACCAGAGAGGGAGACCAGAGAGGGAGACCAGAGAGGGAGACCAGAGAGGGAGACCAGAGAGGGAGACCAGAGAGGGAGACCAGAGAGGGAGACCAGAGAGGGAGACCAGAGGGGGAGACCAGAGGGGGAGACCAGAGAGGGAGACCAGAGAGGGAGACCAGAGGGGGAGACCAGAGGGGGAGACCAGAGGGGGAGACCAGAGAGGGGGAGACCAGAGAGGGGGAGAGACCTAGGTTTGCGATGTTATTACCTCTACATGTTTGAACGGATACATGTCATGGTAATAACATCGCTAACCTGGTATTGTCTGCTATAGAAGAACCAAATCCTTTTATTTCTACCACAAAGACGAGATGAATCTTCCTAAATACCAACGACTCTTCTGGCCCTCGGAAAAGCCATGTTCCAGCTTCTTCCCTCTGGCAGAAGATATCGTTCGCTGAGATGCAGGACATGGATATGCTAACATGCTAACAGCGTCTTTCCACAACCTGCTATCAGTCTGAACATAGCACTTTAATGATTTTACACTTGTTATTGAAGTTACTGGAGAATGACTTTGTTCATAAAGAGTTTTATGTTTGTTCTAGAGTGAGATTGTTTTTAAATGAAAAGGGTGGACCACAGCTCAAAAAGTTTGGGGAAGAGTGCTCTAAAACTCCACTTGTCTTGTTGTAATATGTTATGTGTCACTCAGGAGGGAGAGGATGCCGTGCAGTTCGCCAACAGAGTAAAGTCTGCCATCGCCCATCAAGGAGGACTGGTGGATCTACAGTGGTAACAAGCATTTCTCATTTCTTTAATAATTGTTGGAAAATTGGCATATTCACTGGTTTACTCCAAAAACACATCCGAGGTCTCCAATATGTCCATAACTCTGCTGCTAGGAGCATCACCCGAACAGAATCTACAGATCACATCACTCCGGTTCTTATCCACTACTCTGGTCTTAGCCATCCGTAAACTCTGGTCAATGATCATTTCCTACATGTACGTCTGGGTCTGATCCTAGTTCCGTCAATTTCCTCTGTTGAATCCCCTCCGACCAATCAGAGAGCGGGGGAGGCGGGTGTTGTAGGTCGGTGTCGGTGACGTCAAGAGTTTGCGCCAAATTAGCTGGTTGTAGTTTGGCAGCGAATGCGATAGTGAAGTAATTCGTTCTGGTTCTGCTCCAAATATCAAGTGATTGAAGCCGGAGGAATGTTGCAACTGTCATTGTTGGAAAATATGTTGTGGCTCTACTCCCCACGGGCTCAGTTAGTGGCAAAGGAGATGGCTAACGCTAGGCTAAATGCTAAAAGCCTCACTCAGTCAGGCACATTACATAAACTCAGATCCAATTTTTCCAACTTGCAAAAGGAGTTAATCCTTCCCACCTGTTAAAGGAGCTCAATGAAGCAAATCCAGACCTTAGTACGAAATGAAATGAGTACGATAGTGTGGTAAGGCCAGGCTAATCCAACTCCACTGGCTCCCCATAGCCCACAGAATCCAGTTTAAACTCCTCCTCCTCACATTCAAGGCTCTCCATAATCCGCCCTCCTCATACCTCTGGAATGTTCAAATCACATCTCAAAACCTACCTTTTTAGACTGTAATTTTTTAATGTATCTCTGCTGTACTTTTAAAATTCTGTGTGATGTCTTAATACATTGTAACACACTAGAAAAAAAGCGTAAAATAAGAAAAAATATGACTTGACAAGATTTCTGAAAATGGGAAAAAAAACACTAGCCCCAAATGACTTGATTCTAGTATAAAAACTACTAGCATTATGTACTTATTTGTCTAAACCTTTTGAGAAATGTTTTCTTAAAATATAGCATAACATTTATCTAAACAACAAGAAACTTTTCCTGGAAATGAGAAAAAACACTTGAAGCTTTAAAACTCACTGCTCAGACACAAACAAGATTATGAAGTATTATCTTAAAACTTGTAAAATAATCTTACATGACAAACTAAATTCAAGCAAAAAAACCAAACTTTTTCAGGGCAAGAAATAAAATCAATTATTGTTTTATTGATACAGACGCACACATATACACAAAATCACTTTATTTTCAAAGACTCATTTACATTTGTTCACATTATTTATTCATATTTTTGCCTTGTTTTCAGGGACGGCGGTTTGAAAAGGGCCAAAGTGAAAGAAACCTTCAGGGAGCAGCAGCAGAAGCAGTACAGCGACATGGTGGTGGGAGACGACAGCAGCAGCAGCGACTGAGCTCCGTCCCACAACAACAACAACAAACTGTACGGACAAGAAAAACTCTCTGTACGACGAGCTGGGAACAAACTGTGAACCGAGTGAATGTAAAAAAGAAATGTTTACAAAAGGAATCAAATGTATGTAAAGCACTGAGCCAGTCCAATATATATATATAGAGCAATAAACGTTTAAGAATGAAACGCTTGTCTATCTCTTAAATAAGTCATCTTCATATGAGCGGGAAGGTCCTGGGTTCTGTTTGGAGTTTGCCTGTTCTCCCCGTGTCTGCGTAGGTTCACTCCAGGTGCTCCGGTTTCCCCCACATGTATGTACCCCGCTCCTACCTCTGTGTGGAGTGAGAGACAAATTCCCAAAAGATGACTTGCTTATTTACAATTGTTGTGGGCATTTGTCTCACTCCTCACATGGGAGCAGGGTTGCCATCCAGGAAGTACATGCCAGAGCTATTGTACCGTATTTTCTGGACTATAAGCCGCACCCCAATTTTTAGAAAGACATTTTATTATGTACCTGTACACCCCACACCTATCGCACATCGTAGTATTGGAAAATGTATCTCAAAAACGTTTGTCATGTCTTAATATTAGTAATAAAAGTAAGAGTAGGAAGTGAGTAACTGACACATAAGAAGCAACATCCACTGGTCTCTTTTCACTTTCATGTCTGTACAAAGAACCAAAAAACTATTTCGTATATTGTAAGTGAGGAATTTTAACTTTATTTAATCTGCTTGATCGACAAATGAACAAAAACATTGCAACACTGAAAATAATAATAAAAAAGCCGCACCTTACAATAAGCCGCAGCCTTCAAAAAGCAGAAAACAAGCTGCGGCTTATAGTCTGAATAAACACGGTACATGTTTTTAGTGGTAGGGGAAACCGGAGCACCTGGAGGAAACTTACGCAGACACGGGGCAGAACATGTAAACTCCACGCAGAAAGGTCTGGAGGTGGAATTGAACCCAGGACCTTCAGGTGATAAGAACTGGTGAGAGAAGGCGTTGTTGGTACCGTCCCACACATCCACATGGTACCATCACTCTTTCCTTGTTTTTATAATACTAGTTTATTTTTGCACAGTTTGTACCTCATCATAGAAAAACGTTTTAATGGATTCAGATTCATATTTATTCAAAACCATGTGGATCTGCACTTGTTTCACACTGAGCAGTTTCCTTGTGGTGTCATGCTTTTTCTTTACAACATGATTATTTTGAAATTAATTCCTAACTCCTTATTTCTTCACATTTTTAATTTAATTGTATCTCAAAGTTATTTTTGTATTGTTTTTTTAATGTGTTTTTAATAAGAACAAATACATAATGCATCAAAGATAAAGAATCCATATAATACTTAAAATAAAAAACAGGCAGCAACTATAGGTTTATAGACGGGCAATGCTAACTCGCTAGCTCAATGAAGCCCTATAGGGAAGTGCTCATGGACAAAGTTTGGACTTCAATTGAAAAGTAAACTCCTCCAGCTCAGTAACCGTTTGTGTCACACTCACCATTTTGAGTTTAGAAAATCTGTGGTTTATTGCGCTTTATGATCCTGGTGTGATATTTTCTATGTATATCCAGTTATTATTATTATTGTGTTTATTTGATAGGGACAGAACAAGACGCATTGTTACAGGAACCGATACTGTGTTCATATGCCGTATAACTAACAGCTAGTTTGCAGACCTGGTCCCTATGGTCCTAGTTATGAGCCATGTAAGGATTGACCAATCAGATGCCTTCATTCACAGCGGAAGCTCCGGCTTGCCATAGCAACCGTCTAAGCAACACGTCTGCCTCTTTTAGGGCAGTGCACCCGGAGAATCGCATTATAATGGACTACAGCAAGTTCATCATCAACATTTTCAAATATTTTTTCACAAGGGCAACTTTGTAAAGGGAAAAGCAGCACATGCAACAACCACAACTCTCTGGGTAAGTGCTTCACTCACCACGACACAGCTCTACGGCTCGTTGCGCTGTCATTCTGCAAAGTATTGTCCCTTGTGAGACTTGTATGTAGTTTAATAACCTCCTTCCTCTGACCCAAATGTGAGCAATGGGCTAAAAAACAGTTCGGTTTTATCGTCACGACTATATTTGGTCGAGTATTCAGACAGAAAATAAGTCGCAAGGCCGGTTGAATGGCATGTTTTAACTAATATTAATTAATTATCTCTGCTGTTGAAACTAATGTGCCACCACTTTTGCCTTTTGTGGACTTTTTCAAAATGGCCGCGGGCAGCCCTTCCCACAGGAAAATGTGAAAAACGTATATACGCATGCGTTAGCCAGAACCAGGCCCATTCATTTAACAAGTGCTTTCTGAAGTCCACAGCGGCAAAACTAGATTGGTCCAAAATAATTTTACTCCCCTCAGCATTGACAGCATCTGGATCGTAGCTTTGGGCCAAGAGCGAGTTTTGGAACATCCTGTAGAGACATTTTCGAGAGGAAAGAAGATGCCATACAAAAGCAATGGGTAATTCTGTTTCCGGGTACACCCCCACCGGCCCGGAGTGAGATTGCGAGTATGTCAGCGCACGTGCTCATGGACCTTTTTGAGCCAAGACCCGCCCCCACTGGTCCAGACCTAAAAGCCTAATACTGCCAGTCCAGTTCATTTTAATACTCCTTTGGTTCAGAGCAGGACGCACAGTTTGGTCTTGCATCCTTTCTTTTTGGAGGCTTTCTCGTCGCTCAGTTCTTCTTCTATCTGCGGCATCTCTGCGTACGTCTCTGAAAAATAAATGTCATTTAATTCAGATAAATTCAGCCAAATTTGAGCAATTTCTGACTTGTTTTTCGTCACTTTTTGCAGTGTACATGTGTCCTTACCGTACGTCGCGCCGCTGTCTGGCTCTTGTCTTTGCATGTTCTGCTGCTGCAACACAACCGAGATAACATCACATTGTGTCTATTGCGGTAATGTGTTTAAATATACTTACGTTTTTGGGCTGGTTCTTGCTCTCCTGCATGTGTTTCATATCTTGATAGCTGAAATTAGAACAGAGGCCTGGTTAGAAACATGTTTGCAGCCTTGAAATGCTTTTTTTCTCCAAAAAAACATGGCATTGATTGTTGATTTAAGAGGCGCGTGTCTGTGCAGATACGGCATCACTGTTTGTTTAATGTGAGCTGCACTGGTCTACACAAGCCTGAAGTGACAAACCCTGGAGATTCACTTTAAGAACAGTCTAATTATACCGGTGTACACATTTAAAACCAGGCCGAAAAATAGACTTAGACAGACTTTATTGATCCACAAGGGAATTTGCTTTGTCATAGTAGCTTGCATAGATCTCCACAATAAATATAATAATCTGAAAATAACAATAAAATAACATTGTGAGAATTGAATAATCTGGATGTATGTACTCAGGAATATACATATCTGGGAAGTCATATTAGTGGAAGTGTTGCATTTTTGGTCATCTCTCTTTTCTGCTAAGACCAACGTAACATGGAATTTTTCTGCCCGATCAGCTCAACTGGCTCCTCTTGACTTGAAGAAGCAGCGGCTCTACCCCGAGCTCTCGTATTCCCAGAGAACCCCCCAAAGGGAACACAGCCTAACGCCTTCTCCAGATCCACAAGGCCATGAGGACTGAGGCCAACTCCCATGATCCCTCAAGTACTCGATTCTCTCAAAACAGTCAGGGTTATGGTTTTAGTCCCACTTTAGATACACTTTCACAGACAGTTAAAGGTGGGAACTTTTTTCTCTCCCATATCCATCAAATATTTTACTCCAATAAAAAAGCTTTCTCAAAGTATAATTTGTTATGAACAGTTTGGACCGCAACATGCAGTCTTGATCTGATTAGAAACATTTTACTAATGCACTAGGACTGAAAAACCAGCACTGCTATTGCCACTTTTTTATTGTACATAATTATATCCTGCACAGAATATAGTTTTAACCAAGACATGTTTCACACTTCTTTTTTTTACACAAATCTGAGTGATTCTGTCTGTGCCAAATGTGACATGTACATTTCCTCATGTGACATCAATAAAATCTATCTTGTCTTACCTTTATCACAACATAGTGTCACTATTTGGTATTCCTGACTGAGAGCTGATTGGCTGAGTGAGGGTGGTCGTCTCTTTTGAATTTTTCTGTCTAAAAAAATGGGATCTAATGATGTACAAAGGACAACAAATATTTGCATGAAAACTAGTGATTGTTGTTTCCAAACTTACATACTCAAACATCTGTAAACCTGAAAATCAGTAAGCAAAGAATTAAAGTTTTGTTAAGGAACCCCTGCGTCACAATTTTGTCCTGTGCATGACCCATCCTGCAACACTGCCAGGGCAGGTCTCACACCTGTAGCTCGGGAGCCACCAGTAGCTTGCCACCCCCTTCCAGGTAGCTCGCCAAAGGAATTAGAAATGAACAAATCAAATGATTAACTCACTATTTCAGATAGGATTACTCATTATATATTTGTAAATACAAACTTACTTTGTCACTAGTAACAAATATGTGATGATAAAAAATCACTGATGTCAGGCTCTTTCACACGAATATATAAAAAAAAAATCACAGGGCCAATTAAAGAAGTAGCTCTCTGCCTTTATCGCACTGAGAAAGTAGCTCTCCGCTGAAACAGGTTGGAGAGATCTGTGCAAGGGCCTCTCTCAGCTGCAGTGCCCAGGGACCTGTCTCCAGATGGAGATGGAGGACTTTACCCATAGATCTCAGAACTTTACCAAAATCACTGCGCAATAAGCTACTATGGCAAGTTTCAAACTGGGTAAGCTGGGTATGTTATCCTAAGGGTAAACTACAGTTATGCTAAGGGTAAACTAATGTTATGCTAAGGGTTAGCTTGTAAATGGGCTTGTTCACACTAAAGGGCACAAAAGTGTGACAAAAGGCTAAAAATTAGATTTTAATAATCAGAAGATATTTTATGTTTTTCATGTTTCCAAACACCTCCTCTGTTCATTAGAAGTTGCTAGAACATAACTGTTTTATACATTAGACAAGTTTCCTATAGCGGCCCTGTTTATTTTATGTAACGGACGTGATGATTTGACGGAATGAGCTTTGTGGAAGTTTGATAGGTATTTTCAGATATCCACATTTGATTCAGAGATTCTATTTTTGTACACAAAGTAGATGCAAAGTGATACTTTCATATTGTCAAGCAAATAAATGTGAAAACAGACCAGATTTTTTTTTCTCTCAAGTTTAATTCAGAGAAAAGAGGACTGTCCTCATCACGTCCGTTATACATTTTTCAAGGGTCATTTAATTAATTAATTATTTATTATTTTTTTACGATTCCTTTTTATATCAAGTGATTTCCTTCTGTTGTGTTAACCATGTAAATCTTGTGGGATTTCATCTTCTGCTTTTTCAGACTGAGGACATTTTATTTTCTATGTAACTGGCGTCACAGTAGAATGGTCCAATCAGAGGCTAATTTGGTCGTTTAAAATGTTGCTAAACATTTTTATGTCAATCTTTCCTTTTGATTTTTTCCACACTATTTCTTCAATGTGTCTGTGTTTGAAATCTTTTTTCCAATCTATGAAAGTAATTTTAGTTTTTAAGATATAACCTTTTAAAGTCCAGATACTTCAATTGTCACTTTACTGTGAACACACTCATATACGTAAGTAATATTCATTTTTATAGACCAAGGTCAGCCAAAGTGCTTTACAATGTTCAGAGCTAATGATATGCTAAGGGTAAAACTACTGCAATGCTAAGGCTAAGCTAATGTTACGCTAAGGCTAAGCTAATGTTGCTGCTATCAATTTGAGGAACTAGTTTTATTCTTATGTTTTGTGTATATTAATGGTTGTTTTATGTAGTTAAACAAAAGCATAACACTGAGTTACAGTCAATAAATATATAAAGATCATCTGTTAAAGTGCCGCCCTCTGAAAAGAGAATTAAAAGTGTCTGTTTCTATGTCATGTAATAAGATTGGGGTTCCTAACTATTCTTTTATTGACCTTTGTTCAACTAGGACAGTCCTACTGAGATTTCAGAATGGACCCATAGAGAGGGGAGCTATTGTACCCGGAGCACCTGGAGGAAACAGAGACACAGGGTGAACATACAAACTCCCTGTATGGAGGTGGAATCAAACCCAGGACTTCATAGGTTATTTTTTTGTTTCCCATCAGAAAAGGTTGTACAATGTTGCGAACAAATCATATCACAACACACTCTTATTAGAAAACATGTTATTTTTTGCATACTTGTAAGAAAGAGCCCTGTGAGTCACAATTTGACCCTTTGGGGTGAGAGCTGATTGGCTATTTCTCACTTTTTCTGTCTGATAAAGGATGATGGGCAAAACTAATGATAGAAGAAGCTAAACTGTTTTGAGAGTGAGGAACTACTGTATATAGTCTGATGGATTTCAATGCATAGCTACTTATTGTGGATTTAAAGTTGTGTTACTCCAAGTTTTAACGCACTCTGAACAAAACACTGCTTCTCAAACACAAATCGCATAAATACCCAAGTGCGCAACCTATTTCCTAACGATAATAGTTACAGATTTTGCCATAATCTTAGCCGGACTGACCGTAGCAGGTAGGAGTCGTACTGCTTGCTGCTTCTCACCGGCTGCTTCCCTCCGGCTCCTGAGTGAGACATCTCGCCCAGGACTCCGTCACTGCTTCTGCCCCTCCGATAAAAGAGCTCTGATTTTGGGGCTGGGACACTGGCCCCTGCTGCCGTCTCCTCCCGTCTCCTTTTTTGCCTCCGGAGAAATGTCTGCAGACTCTGCACACTTGTAGGACTGAAGGAGAAGTGGCTGTTTTGTTGTTGTCACCGTGGCAACCGTGGACCAAAGGAAAGCAGCCCAATAAAAAGGGACGTGAGGAAAGGGTCATTTAAAGCTGGGGTACTTAAAGATGCAGTCAGTGATTTTTTTTTCCAGACGCATTTTTTTGAAGTAATCGTGTGTTTTGAAATAGTAATGGAATTAACCAGATGCCTGTAGTCTCAAAAAAAAAAATAACAAATATTTTGGAGCTGGCCGATAAAAATAAACCAGTGGGATTTGTTCATCCCCAACAAACGGGATGCGTTTACCCCCTTCACCCTCTTCCTGTTTCTTGCGAGTGCACCGGAGTTATCAAATGTCAATTTCACGTTTGCCGCCCACTCTCCCTGTTGTGACAAAGAAAAGAAAATGCTGGATGTTTGGTTTGGTGGAGAGGGAGGGGAGGGGGGAGTGGTTTGGAGTTGGTGCTACGGCTAAGCTAACAACAACGCTTACTGCACCTTTAACTTTCAAAACCACGTAGATAAATACATAACATTACCATTTCTAACTGGAGGGTCTAAGGACAGTGGTGATGGTCCAGGACACTCGACATTCAACCACATTTATTGACATTTATGGATATTTTTGGACATTGCTCTCTGTCCCTTAAGAACCAGTGGCTCTTTGTGTGTGTTTTTACCATTGCGTTTCCTGTCTGTTTGATTCTCTGATTTGTGTTGGCAAATCGACAGCTCCCAGATAACTACTGTTGTGATTTAGGGCAATACAAAACACATTGAATTGAATTTTTTTTTTTAGACATAAACGTTAAAAAGAGAGGATCAGACCAAATATTTCTGTTTTGTAATGCTTAATATTCTTGTTTAAAAAAAAAAATCAGTTGGAGGACAGGTGCCATCACAAATACAAGAAAGAAGCCGCTATTTTGTATTTGTTTATATTTTTTTAAGCAGGAGAGTGCCACTGAGATTTCCCAACCTATTTTTCATCTGAGTAGGATCATGGAGGAGTGTTTCAGAGGACTATTGTTCATGTTTGTAGTGGTCAGTGAAACCGGAGCACCTGGAGCAAACCTTCGCAGACACAGGGAAAACATGCAAACTCCACACAGGCCTGGAGGTGGAATCTCAAGAGCTAACCATTGCACCATTGTGTCGCCATTCTTTTCCAAAAGTCTGTGACCTCTGATGGCCACCCCCCTGACCCACAAATGGATTAAAGGGGTAGAAATGGATATTGAAAGACTTTGAAAGAGAATATTATTTGATGTGATTGGATTCACAAAGCCGCTATATTCTTATTCCTTTCGGTAATTTGAGTTTAGTGTTCATTCATTTTGAGTTCAATGTCTATTAATGATCAGATCTCATTAGAATTCTTGAACAGATACTTATTATAATATTTTACATTATTCAAACTAGAAAAGAAGTGGGAGGAACACATTTTTTTTTAGATTGTTTATTTTTTGTACCCTAACCACATGGGAGAGTTTGTCGTTAGTTAAATGTTGAATAAGGACAGGAAGAATAAGGACTAATAGGTCAATATGATTATATAATCATGCACTTATTAGCACTTACACTGCAAAAAAAGACAAAATATAAGGTAATAAATGCCTAAATCAAGGAGTTTTTATCTTCATTTGAGTAGATTCTGACTAAAACAAGGTTTGCAAATGGAATAAGCTTTTTAGTCTTTAGTGCTGTTGCAATTTCTTTCTCATTCCAAGGAAGAAATTTTTTGAAAATTCTTTTTCAAACGACATTTCTGCTTTTCCCATTGGCAAATCCAGTTTATAGACTGTCAAAATGTGCTCAAATTAAGATTAAAACACTTGATTCAAGCGATTATCACCTCATTTTTTGCAGTGTAGTAAGCTGTTAATTAGTAAGGACTAAACTAAATGGTGACCACTCTTTCTGGAAAAATAAGCTTTTATAATTTAAATAAAATCAAACAATTGCCATAGATCGTATGTAAATGGTTTCTCAGTTCATACTGTACATGCGTGACAGAATGTACCACGGATCACAATTTGCCAGAACAAAATGGAGTTTAGGGGAAATGTACGACAGATTGTAGCTGTAGCAACGATAGAAGTGGAAGTGACGCGTTTTCACTCATTTTGGTGATACGTTATTTTGAGTGAAGACTTTGCATAAAACACTGCATCGGTAGTTACTTTACAAAGAGTCTCAGCCGTGTTTGGGTTTTATTTGAGCCGCAATGGAACGGACGCCGCCCCAGCTCCGAGCAGAGAGACGGAGGAGAGATTCTGCAGGTGAGAGGGGTCTTTCCACCAATCAGGGCCGCACAGGACGTTTACTATATGTCCATCATTGAGTCTATTCTAGCTTTAGGACTGAATAATAACTATTGTGACATTTTTTGTTTTTTTATATAATTGTCCTTATTTGCATTTCGTGGCAGATGGCAATGACAATTCAAAACAAGAAAAAAATGCCCCATGGCTACAGTCAAAAAAATGTCCTCTTCATCCAAAAAACATTATACAGGCATCAGTCAATAAAAAAAATCAGATAAGACACAGACAGTGTCAAGAGACAGACAGACAGACAAGATACAGACAGACTAGATACAGGCAGACAGACAAGATAATAATAATAATAATAATGCATCGGTTTTATATAGCGCTTTTTTGGACACTCAAAGACGCTTCACATGTGTCATTATTCATTCACGCCATACACGGTGGTGATAAACTACTAATGTAGCCACAGCTGCCCTGGGGCACACTGACAGAAGCGAGGCAACCAGTATGCGCCATCGGCCCCTCCGACCACCACCAACCATTCACACACACACCAGACTCATTCTAGGCAATGGGGGTGAAGTGTCTTGCCTAAGGACACAACGGCAGTTTGGCACTTTACAGCCGCAGCCGCCCCACTGTGGCTGGTGTTCCCAGAGGTTAAGTGTCTTGCCAAGGACACAACGACAGTAGTCAGTGGGAGTCGATGGTGAAAGTCTTGAGCGGGGCTTGAACCCACGACCTTCTGGCTCAAAGGCCAACGCTCTACCAACTGAGCTACTGCCGCCCACAAAGATACAGAGACAGACAAGATACAGAGACAGACAGACAGACAAGAAGACACAAAAAGAAAAGACAACACTCACTTTCATTCTCATTGTGACCTTTTTTAGAAGCAAAATCAAGTCTACGTTGAAGTTAGAGGTAACATGTTAAGGTTAAAAATGTAGTCTGCAGGATAGCAATAGCAGTGCAGAGTTTTTTCAGTCCTAGTGCATTAGTAAAATGTTTTCTAATCAGATCAAGACTGCATGTTGCGGTCCAAAGAAATGAGCTATAACCTGGTACAGTTTCCCTTTGAGGTAAATGTTTATTGTTCACTGTCCCTGTCATCGTAAATAAATGAACTAAACTTAAAGTGCTTTTTGTTTCTTGATGTGGTCTTCATGGGAGGCTCCAAAATAGTTCCAACACAACAAGCATGAATGGATATAAATAAAAAAAAAAAAAACACTTTTTTTACAGGCAATGAAAGCTGCCATGTAACAAACCTGATGATTTTTGGAAAGTTCGAGCCAAGAAGACTGAAGTTTCTCCACCATGTGCTATTGATGTCCTCTCTAGCACTGATGACATTGTAGAAATCTGGCGGCAACATTACAATAAGTTATTTATTTGTACATTGGCCTTTAGGCCTGAAGGTTGTGGGTTCAATTCCCACCTCGACACCTTCTCCACCGACTCCCACTGATGTCTGCTGTCGTCGTGTCCTTGGGCAAGACACATAACAAAAAGACACAGGAGAACAAATACTAAATAAAACAGGAACTTAGAATGACGACCATAACACTCTGGCGTTTGAACATGTGTTTTCAGCTGGTGGCCTCCAGGTGGCGCTGTTGGGACTGGGACGACTCTGTCTTCTCCAGGCGGCTCTGAACATTGGCCTGCGTCTGTACGGTGAGGCTGGAGCAGATGTTTAGGGGTCCCAAAGTGTGGCCTGCGGCACGCCTCTCAAGAAAAGTCGGAACGTGGTCTTTCTGAGTGGAGTTTGCATGTTCTCCCCGTGCTTGCGTAGGTTTCCTCCGGGTACTTTGGTTTCCCCTACCACTAAAAACATGCACACTAGGTTAAATCCTCCAGCTCTGGTCCTGACCAAGCCAAGCATCAATGTCTGGAGATAGGTTCCCGGGCGCTGTTACTACGGCGACCACTGCTCCTGACTCAAGCCTTAAAGGCATCGGGATGGGACAAATGCAGAGGATTGAATTGCCCTACGGGGATTTATAAAGTGCATCTTTACCTTTAATTCAGTCCTGCAACAGGCACAATGCAGGCATTTGATTTTCGCAATCAGAACTGCTTAGGGCTCGTGCTGTAACCCTCCTCCTCACCATCGCCCCCTCCTCAGTGGGACTCTCTTCCACATCATCGGACATCACTGTAGTGTGCAGTGTTCCCTCTAAACTGGGCACCTGCAGTTGCTCTATTCCAGTGACATCACTTTGCCTCAGGCCTTGACCCTTGGATGCTGGTGTTTGTGCTCAGGGCTTGGATGCCATGAAAGGTGCCCCGGTGATGATCCCTCTGCAACCCCAGGCCCTGAACCAACAACAGCAGAGAGGGATGTTACAGGTACAGGTACACACATTGGCACGCGCACACGCGCACACACACACACACACACACAATCACATCGAGTGACCAGAGACGTCTGCAGTTTGATTTCTTCTTCCAGATTCAACAACGCTTTCATTCCTTTCCAGATTTTTTTTGCAGAAGTTGTACTTTTGAGTTGTACTTTCTAGACCTGGAACCAGAACAGGACAAAGAACAGACCCGAGACCATACCAAAACCAGAGGAATCTTGACCAGACCAGGACTAAAACCCAAACCAGGATGAGACCCAGACACAAACATCACTGATTTGTTTTGTAATACTCCCTTTGTGTTTTGTACAGAAGCTTATCAAACAAGTCAATGCACGTCGGCCTCCTTCACCACAGTCGACCCCTGGGTCTCCACCACCACCACCACTACCAAACCCACCACCACCACCACCACCACCGCCCGCCGTCACAAGCCCTATCTAAGGTAAACGTCATTGTAAACATTTAAAAATAGGTTTCTGTTCAAAAAAATGAGCTGAAACCCAAAAACCCAAATAAACCTATGGATACTCTGTAATCTCCCATCTCTGAGCCCAATTTAAGACAGTAAGGTCTATTAAAGTCTGTGGGTCAGTGGGAGCAGATTCCTCACTCAATGAGGGCCTCTGAGGTTCCAAGTGGTTCCTTTGCAGATGCAGAAGAGTCTAAGGACAGCCTCACAGACAGTGGTCCTCCTGCTCTCTATGGACCAACGGCTTCTAAGTCTTTGTTATTATTGCAATTCATGTGTTTGAACTGTTTGATTCTCTGATCTGTTGTTGGCGAGTCAACAACTTTGTGAAGTCTTCATAGACTATTGCTGTTGTGCTTTAGGGTGATACAAAAAAACAGATTAGATGGACTATATTGATTTCACACTGGAGAAATGTACATGTCACATTTGGCACAGACAGAATGACTCAGATTTGTGCAAAAGACAGAAGTGCGCAACAACCATCAATTTTCCTCCGCTTTATCCGTTGCCGGGTCGCGGGGGCAGCAGTCTAAGCAGAGACGCCCAGACTTCCCTATCCACACACACTTCCTCCAGTTCGTCCGGGGGGACCCCAAGGCGTTCCCAGGCCAGCTGAGAGACATAGTCCCTCCAGCGTGTCCTAAGTCTTCCCCGGGGTCTCCTCTCGGTGGGACGTGCCCGGAACACCTCCCCAGGGAGGCGTCCAGGAGGCATCCTGAACAGATGCCCGAGCCACCTCAACTGGTTCCTCTTGACGTGGAGAAGCAGCGGCTCTACTCTGAGCTCCTCCCGTGTGACCGAGCTCCTCACCCTATCTCTAAGGGAGCGCCCAGCCACTCTGCGGAGGAAGCTCATTTCGACCGCTTGTATCCGCGATCTCGTTCTTTCGGTCATTACCCAAAGCTCATGACCATAGGTGAGGGAGGGAACGAAGATTGACCGGTAAATCGAGAGCTTTGCCTTTCGGCTCAGCTCCCTCTTTACCACAACGGTCCGATACAGCGACCGCATCACTGCGCTCGCTGCACCGATCCGCCTGTCAATCTCACGCTCCATCCTTCCCTCACTTGTTCACAAGTGAGGGAAGCTCCTCCACTTGAGGAAGGGCCTCTCCACCCACCCCGAGAGGACAAGGCACCTTTTTCCGGTCGAGCACCATGGCCTCAGATTTGGAGGTGCTGATTCTCATCCCAGCCGCTTCACACTCGGCTGCAAACCGCCCCAGTGCATGCTGCAGGTCCTGGTTCGTTGGAGCCAACAGGACAACATCGTCCGCAAAAAGCAGAGATGAAATCCTGAGGTCCTCGAACCGGACCCCCTCCGACCCCTCGCTGCGCCTAGAAATTCTGTCCATAAACGCAGTGAACAGAACCGGTGACAAACAGGGACCGGTCGGCCCTCAGCAGAGGACCCCCGAGCCCTTACTCCTGGAGAACCCCCCCAAAGGACACCCCGGGGAACACGGTCAAACGCCTTCTCCAAATCCACAAAGCACATGTGGACAGGTTGGGTGAACTCCCATGAACCCTCGAGTATCCGATGGAGAGTATAGAGCTGGTCCAGTGTTCCGCGACCGGGACCAAAACCACACTGCTCCTTCTGGATCCGAGATTTGACCATCGGCCGTAGCCTCCTCTCCAGTACCTTGGAGTAGACCTTACCAGGGAAGCTGAGGAGTGTGATTCCATGATAATTGGAACACACCCTCCGGTCCCCCTTTTTGAAGAGAGGGGACCACCACCCCGGTCTGCCACTCCACTGGTACCGCCCCCGATCGCCACACGATGTTGCAGAGACGTGTCAGCCAAGACAGTCCTACAACATCCAGAGACTTTAGTGTGCAACATGTTAAGGTTAAAAATATAGTCTGTGCAGGATATAATTATGTACAATGAAAAAGTGGAAATAAAAGAAAGAGTGGCAATAACAGTGCATGGTTTTTTCCAAATGCATGAAATGGAATTGTTTTATTTTAGGATTATTTCTCAGTTGTTCTTGCAGCTTGTTCTTAACACTTTGTATATATTTTGTTTTCGTCAAATGGGATGTTTCTGCTGTAAAACGTGTTTTACTTGTTCTGAAATATACATCTTGTTTGATTGAGTCTCAGATTTAATGATAATTGTCCAAGTTATGTGTGTGTTGCAGATGTGATAAGGATTCAATCGTGCGGAACTTGTGTATGATGCCCCCAATGAAGAGGCGGAGGGCGGCAGAGCAGAGATAACTTTTACCAGGTGTTTATTAAATCTGGTAAAACCAAACCCATCCATCCATCCATCCATTTTCCTCCGCTTTATCCGTTGCCGGGTCGCGGGGGCAGCAGTCTAAGCAGAGACGCCCAGACTTCCCTATCCACACACACTTCCTCCAGCTCGTCCGGGGGGACCCCAAGGCGTTCCCAGGCCAGCTGAGAGACATAGTCCCTCCAGCGTGTCCTGGGTCTTCCGCGGGGCCTCCTCCCGGTGGGACGTGCCCGGAACACCTCCCCAGGGAGGCGTCCAGGAGGCATCCGGAACAGATGCCCGCGCCACCTCAACTGGTTCCTCTCGACGTGGAGAAGCAGCGGTTCTACTCCGAGCTCCTCCCGTGTGACTGAGCTCCTCACCCTATCTCTAAGGGAGCGCCCAGCCACTCTGCGGAGGAAGCTCATTTCGACCGCTTGTATCCGCGATCTCGTTCTTTCGGTCATTACCCAAAGCTCATGACCATAGGTGAGGGAGGGAACGAAGATTGACCGGTAAATCGAGAGCTTTGTCTTTCGGCTCAGCTCCCTCTTCACCACAACGGTCCGATACAGCGACCGCATCACTGCGCACGCTGCACCGATCCGCCTGTCAATCTCACGCTCCATCCTTCCCTCACTCGTGAACAAGACCCCGAGATACTTGAACTCCTCCACTTGAGGAAGGACCTCTCCACCCACCTGCAGAGGGCAAGGCACCTTTTTCCGGTCGAGCACCATGGCCTCGGATTTGGAGGTGCTGATTCTCATCCCAGCCTCTTCACACTCGGCTGCAAACCGTCCCAGTGCATGCTGCAGGTCCTGGTTCGTTGGAGCCAACAGGACAACATTGTCCGCAAACAGCAGAGATGAAATCCTGTGGTCTCTGAACCGGACCCCCTCCAACCCCTGGCTGCGCCTAGATATTCTGTCCATAAATACAGTGAACAGAACCGGTGACAAAGGGCAGCCCTGTCGGAGGCCAACATTCACCGGGAACAGGTCTGACTTACTGCCGGCAATGCGAACACAGCTCTGGCTCTGGTCATACAGGGATCGGATGGCCCTCAGCAGAGGACCTCCGACCCCGTACTCCCGGAGAACCCCCCAAAGGACACCCCGGGGAACACAGTCGAACGCCTTCTCCAAATCCACAAAGCACATGTGGACAGGTCGGGCAAACTCCCATGAACCCTCGAGTATCCGATGGAGAGTATAGAGCTGGTCCAGTGTTCCGCGACCGGGACCAAAACCACACTGCTCCTCCTGGATCCGAGATTCGACCATCGGCTGTAACCTCCTCTCCAGTACCTTGGAGTAGACCTTACCGGGGAGGCTGAGGAGTGTGATCCCACGATAATTGGAACACACCCTCCGGTCCCCCTTCTTGTAGAGAGGGACCACCACCCCGGTCTGCCACTCCATTGGCACTGCCCCCGATCGCCACGCGATGTTGCAGAGACGTGTCAGCCAAGACAGTCCTACAACATCCAGAGACTTTAGATAATCAGGACGGATCTCATCCACTCCCGGAGCCTTGCCACCATGGAGGCTACCAACCACCTTGGTGACCTCAACCAGGGAGATGGATGTACCCGCCCCAACATCCTCAGCCTCTGCTTCTGTAACAGAGGACGTGACGGGGGGATTGAGGAGAACCTCAAAGTATTCCTTCCACCGCCCGACAATATCCCCAGTCGAGGTCAGCAGCTCTCCACCCGCACCGTACATGGTGTTGGCAAAGAACTGCTTCCCCCTCCTGAGGCGCCGGATGGTTTGCCAGAATCTCTTCGAGGCCGACCGATAGTCATGCTCCATGGACTCTCCGAACTCCTCCCAGTCCCGGGTTTTTGCCTCTGCAACAGCCCGGGCCGCGGCACGCTTGGCCTGCCGGTACTGGACAGCTGCCTCAGGAGTCCCCCGAACCATCATGGCTCGATAGGACTCCTTCTTCAGCCTGACAGCATCCCTTACTGCCGGTGTCCACCACCGGGTTCGGGGGTTGCCGCCGGGACCAGCACCAGAGACCTTGCGACCACAGCTACGAGCCGCCGCATCGGCGATTGAGGCAGAGAACATGGTCCACTCGGACTCCATGTCCCCCTCCTCCGCCGGGACCTGGGAGAAACTCTCCCGGAGGTGTGAGTTGAAAGTCCGTCTGACAGGGGGCTCAGCGAGACGTTCCCAGCAGACCCTCACTATACGCTTGGGTCTGCCAGGTCTGACCGGCTTCTTCCCCTGCCAGCGGATCCAACTCACGACCAGGTGATGATCGGTTGACAGCTCCGCCCCTCTCTTTACCCGAGTGTCCGAGACACGCGGTCGAAGGTCAGATGATACGACAACAAAGTCGATCATCGACCTCCGGCCTAGGGTGTCCTGGTGCCACGTGCACTGGTGGACACCCTTGTGCTCGAACATGGTGTTCGTGATGGACAAACCGTGACTGGCACAGAAGTCCAACAACTGAGCACCGCTCGGGTTCAGATCAGGGGGGCCGTTCTTCCCGATCACCCCTCTCCAAGTGTCACTGGCGTTTCCCACATGGGCGTTGAAGTCCCCCAGGAGAATAACGGAGTCCCCGGGCGGTGCACCGTCCAGTACCCCTCCCAAGGACTCCAAGAAGGCCGGGTACTCTACACTGCTGTTAGGCCCGTAGGCCGTCACAACAATGAGAGACTTGTCCCCCACCCGGAGGCGGAGGGACGCGACCCTCTCATTCACCGGGGAGAACTCCAACACGTGGCGGCTGAGATGGGGGGCAATGAGAATGGCCACCCCAGCTCGCCGCCTCTCCCCACGGGAAACTCCAGAAAAGTGGAGCGTCCAACCCCTCTCAAGGAGTTGGGTTCCAGAGCCCAAGCTGTGTGTGGAGGTGAGGCCGACTATCTCTAGTCGGTATCGCTCAACCTCCCCCACGAGCTCGGGCTCCTTCCCCCCCAGTGAGGGGACGTTCCACGTCCCAAGAGCCAGATGTTGTGTGTGCGGACTGGGTCGCCGAGGTCTCCGCCTTCGACTGCCGCCCAGTCCTCTCAGCACCGCTTCACCAAGGACCCCTCTGCAGGTGGTGGGCCCACAGGAGGGACTGCCCACGTCATCCCTTCGGGCTGAGCCCGGCCGGGCCCCGTGGGCTAAGGTCCGGCCACCAGGCGCTCGCATACGGGCCCCGACCCCAGGCCTGGCTCCAGGGTGGGGCCCCGGCTGCGCCATGCTGGGCGACGTCACTGTTTTCATATTAGTGTTGTCCATGGTGTCTTCTGGACTACTCTTTGTCTGACTCGTCACCTGAGACCTGTCTGCCATGGGAGGCCCTACCAGGGGCATGAAGCCCCAGACAGCATAGCTCCCAGGATCATCCGAGTACTCAAACTCCCCCACCACGTTAAGGTGGCAGGTACAGGTACAGGTACACACATTGGCACGCGCACACGCGCACACACACACACACACAATCACATCGAGTGACCAGAGACGTCTGCAGTTTGATTTCTTCTTCCAGATTCAACAACGCTTTCATTCCTTTCCAGATTTTTTTTGCAGAAGTTGTACTTTTGAGTTGTACTTTCTAGACCTGGAACCAGAACAGGACAAAGAACAGACCCGAGACCATACCAAAACCAGAGGAATCTTGACCAGACCAGGACTAAAACCCAAACCAGGATGAGACCCAGACACAAACATCACTGATTTGTTTTGTAATACTCCCTTTGTGTTTTGTACAGAAGCTTATCAAACAAGTCAATGCACGTCGGCCTCCTTCACCACAGTCGACCCCTGGGTCTCCACCACCACCACCACCACTACCAAACCCACCACCACCACCACCACCACCGCCCGCCGTCACAAGCCCTATCTAAGGTAAACGTCATTGTAAACATTTTAAAAATAATAGGTTTCTGTTCAAAAAAATGAGCTGAAACCCAAAAACCCAAATAAACCTATGGATACTCTGTAATCTCCCATCTCTGAGCCCAGTTTAAGACAGTAAGGTCTATTAAAGTCTGTGGGTCAGTGGGAGCAGATTCCTCACTCAATGAGGGCCTCTGAGGTTCCGAGTGGTTCCTTTGCAGATGCAGAAGAGTCTAAGGACAGCCTCACAGACAGTGGTCCTCCTGCTCTCTATGGACCAACGGCTTCTAAGTCTTTGTTATTATTGCAATTCATGTGTTTGAACTGTTTGATTCTCTGATCTGTTGTTGGCGAGTCAACAACTTTGTGAAGTCTTCATAGACTATTGCTGTTGTGCTTTAGGGTGATACAAAAAAACAGATTAGATGGACTATATTGATTTCACACTGGAGAAATGTACATGTCACATTTGGCACAGACAGAATGACTCAGATTTGTGCAAAAGACAGAAGTGCGCAACAACCATCAATTTTCCTCCGCTTTATCCGTTGCCGGGTCGCGGGGGCAGCAGTCTAAGCAGAGACGCCCAGACTTCCCTATCCACACACACTTCCTCCAGTTCGTCCGGGGGGACCCCAAGGCGTTCCCAGGCCAGCTGAGAGACATAGTCCCTCCAGCGTGTCCTAGGTCTTCCCCGGGGTCTCCTCTCGGTGGGACGTGCCCGGAACACCTCCCCAGGGAGGCGTCCAGGAGGCATCCTGAACAGATGCCCGAGCCACCTCAACTGGTTCCTCTTGACGTGGAGAAGCAGCGGCTCTACTCTGAGCTCCTCCCGTGTGACCGAGCTCCTCACCCTATCTCTAAGGGAGCGCCCAGCCACTCTGCGGAGGAAGCTCATTTCGACCGCTTGTATCCGCGATCTCGTTCTTTCGGTCATTACCCAAAGCTCATGACCATAGGTGAGGGAGGGAACGAAGATTGACCGGTAAATCGAGAGCTTTGCCTTTCGGCTCAGCTCCCTCTTTACCACAACGGTCCGATACAGCGACCGCATCACTGCGCACGCTGCACCGATCCGCCTGTCAATCTCACGCTCCATCCTTCCCTCACTTGTTCACCAAGTGAGGGAAGCTCCTCCACTTGAGGAAGGGCCT